AAACCTTAAAATTTGTATGACCCATATCTCATGACCCCTGTGACCTAGAGACTAAAAATTCACGGGACGTAGTAGTGCCCATAGGTCAACTTGCATGCCAAATTTGAGCAAAATCGGAGAGGTCATGGTGAACATGCCTAGGTGATCTGTCATGGAATCACCCCATTTCCAATATTGACATGGACTTTTTGTTGCGACCATTATTTGAACGTTTGTACTTTGTTTTAATTATGCTGTCTTTGTTTATGGAATCACATTTTTGACCCGGATGGATTTATATCATCTCGGTTTATGTAACATGTATGTTATATTGAAATCTGATGGCCCTTTTGTGGACCCTCCTGCGCTGCGGCCAAGCTGCGGCTAGGGTTGGCGTTACCTACGTGTTCGTGTATGTCTGTGTGATGTACGTCAGCACAGCTGGCGGCTGTGCGTAGGCCACTGGCGTTTCGTATCACGTGATCACCCGCAGCCGTCGATGTCCTATACCACGTGTTCGGCCCGGGCTGTCGTGTGTTACATCAGCCCAGCTGCGTAACTACGGGCGGGAATTAACGCCATCGGCTTTGCGCTGTGTCCGGGCTGCCTGTCACTTCTCAGGGATTGCGTTTGTGGGGAGGGGAGCTAGTTCAATGACACTCATCTGTGAGCTACGTTTTTACACGTGTGAGAGTGTGAAGGGTGTGACGCACAAACAATGTACAAATACAAAGTGTTTCTGGAGCCTGACGGGCGTTTTGCGATATTATTGGCTAATGGTTCAGGTTGTCATATCCTCCCGAAGACGACCTGTACTGAATGAATGTTGGAAAATTTGCTCTCGAGTTGCAAGAACAACTGCAAAAATAAATTATACTATATAGCCGGTGTATAATTTGTCAGAGTATTGTTGCTCTATCACTTCGGAATAAGGAGCATGTGTCCCCTTTTCCCATGTCGAAAATTATACGGATTAATGATTATCCAGAGGAGTTTTGAACTAATGAGATTTTGGGGGGGGGGGGAGATGGCGTTAAGCCTTTAAAAACAGTTAAAACAAAATGAAACAAGAGGGGCTGCGGAAACATCAGCCGCGATGGAAAACGAACGTCGGGCATGCGGTCTGATTTCTGTGAGTAAGTGGCTGCTCTAACTCCTACTTTCTCGAGGTTTCCCGTGTGTTCGAAAGCGTTCAAGACCAACTGCCATTGCATCAGCCTCGTTTTGATGTCTTGTCTCGCCACCAATCACAGACGGCGTCGTCAGGTGAAGCATTGTTCAGCCAATGAGAGTATCAGAAGTGTCCTGACGTCATAGCTCACAGCCAATCAGACTTCGGGTAGTGTGCTTGAGGGTAATCGACGTCGAACATGTGCTAGAAAACGCGTGACGTTTGTTTACGTTAGGCTGCCGGCGAATTCTCTGGGGGTGTTCACGGGCACCGCACACTGCTGCGTGCGGTGTGTGCGGAGCGTCCAGCAGGCGTGGGGGTAGGGCAGGGGCGTCGCCACGGATTTTTGACTGGGGGGGACGGATTGGCTGACTAAAAACCCAAAAGCTAGTTACCGTACAATTTCAGGCCTATGCACTACTTATAACGCATACACAATACACATGTTCTCATGTTCTCGCGTGGAGGCGTTATTAGTCACACTCTTTTCTATCTGTGCATGAATTGGCGGCGCGAAGCGCCGCGAAAATTGGCAAAAACTCTTGGCAAAACAGTCCCAAAACGCATAAATTTTGCATCCCGAGTAATAACTTTGATACCAGGACAGTTAGGATCTGGTCACCAAGTCCAGCAGCCCTGCCTCTAAAAAATCGTGTGGTCCTCTGTCAACCATAGGTACAGCTTATTCCAAGAAGTTTGAAACTCTGTGCAGTGTAGCTGCAGGACCGGGGGTCGGAGTCGACTTCGGTCGTAGTCGACGGTTTTGGTCGGATACGGAGTTGGAGTCACCAAAGTCGTACCAGACTTCAACTCTGAAGTCAGAGTCAACGTCATCCCCGAGGATGGGTCGGATAAAAGCTGGAGATTCTGTTGGCTGTGGTGATTGAAGGCCGGGTCATGGTAAGACCAATGTAGGACCATACTGAGTATTACATCCTCCTGGGCTCTCTCAGACCAGGACGAGGTCCTCTCACCCTCAAGCATCAAGCGTTCAAAGGACATGGTGAGACCTTCTGCTGTCGGATGGCCTTGAACGGGAAGAGGGCCGTTTGAGAGTGAGCTGAAGGTCTTGACTATTACGAATATCCTACATAAAATGTGTGGTCTTTGCAAGCTTGAGACTTTGGGACAGATCTTCAGCCCTTGTTGAATATGGTCGCCTCTACAACTGGAGCTTTGGCTCCCTATCGAGGACCTGGGACGGACAGTCCAGAGCTGCACCTCGTAGGTAATGTTATCTTTTAAGTGCCCAAGAAATGTTCAAAGAGACAAAAGCATCACATCACATGTTTCACTCGATGCGGGCCGAGGGATGCCGTGATCGGAGATGGGGTGGGACTCCGAGCGATTTTTTAAAAGCCGGAGTCAGAGCTACCAAAATCAATACTCCGCAGCCCTGCAAGCAAGTGCAGTGTCAGCAATTCGCATGATTCAATTTGTATACGAGTAGGTATCCGCAATTTCATCCCAAAACGACAATACCAATTTCGTTGATCACTTTTTTAATCATTCATGAGGATATTTTGCGGGGGACGTCCCCCGGATTCCTCGACGGGGGGGACGCGTCCCCCCGTCCCCCCGGTTTCGACGCCCATGGGGTAGGGGATGGGTAGAAGGCTCTGACGTCACGGCTGCGTGCGGTGGACGGTCCGCTGTGGCCAGTCCCGACCGGCCACAGCGATCGCTGTGTGCGGTGACGGAAGGCTGACGTAGGGACGCAGTGGGCGGAGCTTGGAGGCTGTGTGCGGTCCGACCGCACACAGGGCCCGTGAAAGCCCTCTGGGCTGTATGGGAGTCGTGCATTAGTTAGATTGGTTTCGTCAATTGGTGTTCGAGTACAAGTATAAAGCCGGTCGTTGCTGTGTAGTGGCATTCAATCCGAGCCCCAGAGTCGACACAGTGAGTTCATCGTGGAGTGAAGCCTTTGCTTGCAAGCGGTTCAATTCAGCGGTGCTCTGCCACAAAGTTGAAGTCGACAGCTCTCAAGCTTGATCGTCCAAGTCAACCGGTGTTGTTCATTTATCTGAGGTTGAGAAGAGACATTTGGTATTCCTGCCTAGGGCAGTTTGCTGCAGCATTGACCAAGTTATAATCTGGGTAAGTGATTAGACAGTGTCATTTTGCACTTATTCATTGCAATTCAGTTGGGCAAACTACGGGGAGGTAATCAAGAACTTGATTAATCAAGTTCATGATTTTTTATGCCCATATTTGGTCATGTTTGCAGCCCGTCACGAAAACGGCCGAATCTCGATTCAGGGTCTACGGAGATGCACGAAAATTTTAAGACCGATAGAGAAGAAGTCACTCTACAAGTGTAATCTTTGAATGATTCAAGTTGAAAATCGTGAGGCGGTAGATTGCAACCAAAACGTAATCAACAACTTGATTACGAGGCGTCGTCCCGGGAGTCCGATGATCAACTTCTTGATTACGCAGCCAGCTGGCTAATCATGATCTTGATTTCGCATTCAGCTGGCTAATCACGATTTTGATCGCGCTGATCGTGCTACTGGCGAGCGTTGAACAATGCAGCTAATTAAAAGATACAATGATAATGGTGTATATAAGAGACAAAATCAATCAGTTTTGGTGGGATGGAATTTATGTTGCAGTTAATGTTTCTCATGAATGACTTGACCGAGCCTGTTCAAATTTTGTGTGTGGCTGGAACTTGGAAGCGGATTAGCTATAAGCTTTGGACGAATCGGGGATAAGATATATTTGCACACGCGCACCTTATTTCTGTATCTCCAGAACGGCGTCACCGATTGTTTTTCAATTTTGGTGGGTGGCTAGAGACTCAATAGCTGTAAGCTTTAGACGAGTTAGGGATGTGGCACACACATGTGAACTTGTGCACGAGCACACGTCTTCTCGCGCTTGCTCGCTCACATTGCCGAACACGGAGCTGAAAAAAGACCACCCCGAGCAAGAACACCGCTGTCCGCGATAAGCGGCCTGACCATAAGTCAGCTCAAATGATAAGCTGCATACGACCGTCGACCACATATATTGGACGAATAGCGTCACAACCCAGAGCCCGTGTAACCAAGCACAGATCAAAGATATATTTCAAGAAATGTGTATTTATAGTCCTGCCGGTGGAAGGCTCATAGAATTGGCAAACGCTTCCGACACCCCGCAGCGGCATGCTCTACGGGGATCTCACTCTACTTGCTTCACGGTCGCAATGGCCGCCGCTGATGGCGGCACATCGGCCTTCACCCCACCAAACACTTTGGTTCTCAGAAACTAATTCAGATTGACCATATTTTTAGGAGTTTTGATGTTAAAAATCCAAAATGCGGCCTGCCACAGCAGGAATGCTTGGTCTGGTGGCGCCGATACCACCTCCTGGGCCTCGACGAATACCGCGTCTTCCCCGCCCAGCTCTCCATTCACGATTATGGGATGGAAAGTTTTGCGGGCCTCCGTTGGCTTCCGTCGTCTCTTGGAGAATGCGCTGCAGGTTCTCCAGCTCATCCCCTGCAAAATGTTCATAACCAAATTATAGGTACACTTAACATTGCGTGGGAGAAAATGGAGGAGAAGAATATGAGAGAAGGAGGGAAAGAGTAAAGGAGAGAGAGAGAGAGAGAGAGAGAGAGAGAGAGAGAGAGAGAGAGAGAGAGAGAGAGAGAGGAGAGAGAGAGAGAGAGAGAGAGAGAGAGAGAGAGAGAGAGAGAGAGAGAGAGAGAGAGAGAGAGAGAGAGGGAGGGGAGGGGAGGGGAGGGGAGGGGAGGGGAGGGGAGGGGAGGGGAGGGGAGGGGAGAGAGGAGAGGAGACGAGGAGACGAGAGGAGAGGGAGTGAGGAAGGAAGCAAGGAAAGATGGAAGGAAGAAATGATGGAGGAGAGGTAGGCGGATGTAACAAGGCGAACAAGACAAGACATGGACCTGATGAGTTGGCGCAGGGCACTGATAGGTACTACATTTCGGCACATGATGTGAAAATAATGTACAATGCCTCAGACTCAGCAGTCTGGAAAATGTAGGTACAAATTACACATGCATTAGTGAAGAAGTTTCTGCATTTAGATTAGAATGAATTGTTTTGAAAACATTAGACAATGCCTGTATCTTGAAAAAGGATTAGATTGGGCTGTGTCAGGACAAAACTGGGGATGAGTCATGTGAGCTCGCAAAGTTCCAAAGTTGTGCCAGGCAACTTCATGAGATCACACTGAAGGAGCTCCAGCGAATTATTTTCAGCATGCCCAGCTTGAGTGTGCAAAATGTACACTGGACTGGACCACTGTAGTGTCTGAACGTGATGCATTAAACTGAACGTGACACACCAGCGACAAAACAAAACACTACAACCATCTATTGCAAAAACAATTCATACATACCTGCAGCTGTATGAATTCAGCAGCATCCTGGCCTGCTGTCTTGCATGAGCGATGCACATAATACAAATGTAGCTGTACTTAGTCCGCTTAATTCCAAAGAAGTTCATCATATCATTTTTTGATTGAGCGTTCCTCAACATAGGACGATAGGTACCATTATCACGAGCTTCCTGAGCAATACTGAGGTGACGGTGATGCCCACTGCTACAGCGAGGAGGTGGTACTTTGATGAGCTGTGGAAAAACACACATTTGCAGTCACCACTTCTATTATTGTTCTATGAATCCATGACAAAGCCACTTAGAATGCAAGTATGAATAACCTAGCATAAGCCCAAATTTAACTTTTCATTAAAAACTAAAAGATATATCCTATCGGTCCCTGCTTGCACAGACAATTGACTGAATAAATGATATGGCCACACTGCAAACTTTTGCACAACCTGCCAGGCCATAACATTTCTAGCTACTGTGGGCAGTTAAATGTGTCTCTCTAATCAACAATTGCCCCAAACAACAAAATAGGCCTATTATTTACTTTAAGATAAACTATAACCCTGTAAATAGCATTACATTTCGTAAATAATTAAAATATTATACCGCGGAAAGCATGCGCCATGATAGCCTACAAAATCATCATAAATTCTATCGCGATATTTCAACATTTATACCGACGCACATGAACGTTGAGGCTATTCAAATTTACAAACATGATCTAAATTATTTAAAAAATGCTAATTTTTACCTATAAGAACCAAATTACCAATAATTCGGCGTTAATTTCCGGCCTCACCAACACACCGACAACACACAAATGGCGGCGTGCTAACAGGCGACGGTGCCTTTTGGAAGAAATGTTTATTACGACCAATTTAAGACGTGTGTAAAATGAATGTTCAATTATTTATTTTTAAATTAGAAACGTAAAAATGTGGATAAAAGAATAATATCCGCCTAAAAAGGGCTTTAAGAAATATCACTTTTCTGAAAAAGTTAGGCTAGCAGTTTATCTTTCGCCATATGAGCTAAAGTACATATCCCACTGCTACCGGTCCATATCATTTCGGGAGAATAGAATATTGCGTTTCACCTGGTAAAAAATCGTGTCGATATGGACATTATAACAATCGAAACGAAACACTTGAATAGTTTGGTGCACGAAAAGTAATCAAAATCTTGATTACAACTCCTTATATGGTCATGCCACGCCCCATTTTCATGACGTCATAATCATGAACTTGATTAATCAAGTTCGTGATTACCTCCCCGTAGTTTGCCCAACTGAATTGGACATTGGTGATTAAAATGGCACTTTTTCAACGCCAACTCCATGCCTATTATTAAAGTACATTTATCACTTAAGATTTTGCAAAGTTTGGAGGTGAGCAATCTTGCGAGTATGTAATGTGTGGTGCTTACGTTTGCTCTATGTCCAGTTCAAAATTGTGGGATGGTGCCCCACAAGTGAGCTCAAAGTTGGCTCAAAGATTGCCCAATGTTCACAATGTTTCACCTCCTTTATTGCTATGAAACTCCGGCTCAAGGTATATCTCCGGCTTAAGGGTGTGCCCTTGCCAATAGCCATAACTTGGTTTGGTTTTATTTCAGTTGAAACTGTTGAAACCTAGCTGAAGAAGAGGTGAATGTCAAAACCAAGCATGAGGACTCTTCTGCTTCTGTGCCTTGTTGGTGCTGCTTTTGCAGCCCAGAAGTCTTCAGAAGCTGAAGATGTTGGGACAGTCATTGGCATTGATCTTGGAACAACCTATTCATGGTAAGTTAATTGCAATTTTCTTTTAAAAAGGTTAGAATTTATAGCAGGCATTAATTTTTGCGAGATGCTAGTACAAATTCAGTGGCTTTTATTGCTCATTTTAAAATTGAATTACAGTGATTTACCAAAGTAAATAAGTTAAATAGTTACAGGGTTGCAAGTTCTTCAGTTACAGATACTGTTCAGTTCAAGCGCTTCTAGAGATGTAACTATATTTTATAGTGAGACAATCATCACAACCTATTTCTAAATAGACACATCTTTCTTTCAGTGTTGGTGTATTCAAGAATGGGAGAGTGGAGATCATAGCAAATGACCAGGGCAACCGCATCACTCCATCCTATGTGGCGTTCACCAAGGAGGGTGAGCGTCTCATTGGTGATGCCGCAAAGAATCAGCTGACCAGTAATCCAGAGAACACCATCTTTGATGTGAAGAGGCTGATTGGAAGGGACTGGAATGACCAGAATGTTCAGAAGGATGTCAAACTTCTGCCATTCAAGGTATGTGCAACAATAAGTTCAATATTTCTATGGAGCTCATATGCTATACCATATTGTTTATTAACCAATGCAGGCTTATAAGCTCTGCTGTAAGCTGTATCATCTCTATTTTAACATAATAAGCAAAGAGCATCACTTCATTGTCCATTGGTTGGATGATTAAAAAAAAAAAATGTTTTGCCTCAGAGTAAAAGAAGTGGAGCAACAACAAGTCAAGTCATCTCATTGTACATCACCCAGTGCTTATCGGACTGATAATTATGCAGTGTGACAGTGTATGACAGTGTTTTCACATGTTCAGTGTGTGACACATTTCTGAATCATCCACAGGTGGTGGAGAAGAACGGCAAGTCGCACATCAAGGTGACGGCCGGCGGCGAGCAGAAGGTGTTCTCCCCGGAGGAGATCTCGGCCATGGTGCTCTCCAAGATGAAGGAGACGGCCGAGTCCTACCTGGGCAAGAAGGTGACGCACGCCGTGGTCACGGTGCCGGCCTACTTCAACGACGCTCAGCGCCAGGCCACCAAGGACGCCGGCGCGATCGCCGGTCTGACCGTGATGCGTATCATCAACGAGCCGACGGCGGCCGCCATCGCCTACGGCATGGACAAGGAGGGCAGCGAGAAGAACGTGCTGGTGTTCGACCTGGGCGGCGGCACGTTCGACGTCTCGCTGCTGACCATCGACAACGGCGTGTTCGAGGTGGTGGCCACCAACGGAGACACCCACCTCGGCGGAGAGGACTTCGACCAGCGCGTCATGGAACACTTCATCAAACTCTACAAGAAGAAGTTCAACAAGGACCTGCGCACCAGCAGTCGCGCGGTACAGCGACTGCGGCGTGAGGTGGAGAAGGCCAAACGCACGCTGAGCGCGCAGCACCAGGTGAAAATCGAGATCGAGAACCTGTTCGAGGGCCAGAGCTTCTCCGAGACGCTGACCCGTGCCAAGTTCGAGGAGCTCAACATGGACCTGTTCCGCGCCACCATGAAGCCGGTGCAGCAAGTGCTGAAGGACGCTGGACTGCAGAAGAAAGACATCGACGAGATTGTGCTGGTCGGAGGCTCAACCCGCATCCCTAAGATCCAGCAGCTGGTGAAGGAGTTCTTCAACGGCAAGGAGCCTAGCCGCGGCATCAACCCGGACGAGGCGGTGGCCTACGGCGCCGCTGTGCAGGCAGGCATCCTGAGCGGCGACAAGAGTACCGGCAACCTGGTGCTGCTCGACGTGAACCCGCTGACGCTCGGCATCGAGACGGTCGGCGGCGTCATGGCCAAGCTGATCCCGCGCAACACGGCCATCCCCACCAAGAAGTCGCAGATCTTCTCGACGGCAGCCGACAACCAGGACACAGTCACCATCCAGGTGTTCGAGGGCGAGCGGCCGATGACCAAGGACAACCACGAGCTGGGCCGGTTCGACCTGACCGGCATCCCGCCAGCCGCGCGCGGCGTGCCCAAGATCGAGGTGACGTTCGAGATTGACGCCAACGGCATCCTGCAGGTGTCGGCCGAGGACAAGGGCACCCAGACTAAGAAGCAGATCACCATCACTAATGACCAGCAGCGACTGACGCCAGAGGACATCGAGCGCATGATCGAGGAGTCGGAGCGCTTCGCCGAGGAGGACCGACTCGTCAAGGAGCGCGTGGAGGCCAGGAACGACCTCGAGGCCTACGTCTACAACCTGAAGAACCAGCTGAGCGACGAAAAGCTGGCCGGCAAGCTGTCCAGCGACGAGAAGACCGAGATCGAGACGGCCATCGAGGAGCAGCTCAAGTGGCTGGAAGACCACCAGGACGCCGAGACGGCCGAGTTCCGCGCCCAGAAGAAGGCGGTCGAGGACACCGTGCAGCCCATCATCGCCAAGCTGTACCAGGGCGCGGGCGGCGCGCCGCCCCCGGGCGGACCCGACTCGGACCGGGAGGAGCTGTAGACGTCCGCGGCGGCCGCCGCACACCGCCGAGTCTCGGCGTACTCATGTGATATGGACTGAAGGACTCGAGGACATGGTCAGTGAAGGAAATGGATGGAGTAGAGCTTTCAGAGTGTGGTCCACGGGAGGGGTTTCATTCGGGTATTGCACGATTGATGTAGAAAATAGTCTGTTAGATTTGCTGCATTATCAGCAGTGGCTTGATTGTGTTTAGGTTTACAGTCTTTCTTTGTGTTGCCGTGGGATTAAAGACATTATTTTATTGGATGCGTGCGTGTGCGCGTTGTATCGTTACGGCAGAGCGGTAATTTCGTTCAAGTTCGTCACTGGTTCCTAGAGTTACAGATAGAGGAAATATTTCGTGATACCTCCAGTTGCTGCGTGTTTTGTACAAATAAAGAAAATGAACTCAAAATAATATGTTTGATTGGCCTGACGAGACTCGAGGACGGTAGTCAACATGCTCGGGATTTCACTGCGCTTTGTGACGCGTCCATTCTACAGAAATATTACCACAACATTTCAATGAACAGACTTCTCGGTATATCTTAAACAAATACGACGAATGTCACGGTCGTCACGTCTTGACAAGTCATCCCGCGACGCGCACAGCGCAGTTTCAACTTAACCAGGGTGTGCCAAAACCATCGTGTATTCCTCCCCGTCTTTTGTTGACAAGTTACAAAGCACTTGCAATGGAACAAACAAATGAGCCAGCGTCGGGCACGGCTCGTTCAACAGGCGACGCCCACGTCGCGTCGGAGTCGCGTTGTGGGACGGAGGGGAAGAGAGACGGAGCGAGAGGGGCGCAGGTCAGGCGGGCGGCCCCTCCCGGCCCCTGACGCCGGGCGGCGCTGCCGCCGGCCGCCGGGAGCTCACACCGTGTCCTGAGGTCACCCTGAGGGGCGCGGCGGGGCCGGCGCCGGTCACTGGCGTCCCGGCACTGGCGGAGCGCCCGGCCGGCCGGCGGCGAGCGCCGAGGGGCGGCGGCCGGCGGGCGGACGGGTTCGGTCGCACTCCGGCCGCCGCGAGCAGCACACTACGGACGCGAGTTAGAGCTACGGCGCGGGGCAGCGGTCAGTCGGTTAAAAAATGTGTCGGACCAAGCGAAGCAGAGCGTGGCGTGGCGGTCCGGGGGCCGGTCAGACCGTGCACACGCTCACAAGCGCGGGCAACAACCGGAAACAAGAACAAAAAACGGCGAGCCGCAGACGGCTCCACACAGCTCACACACACGCACACACAATCGCACGCACGAAGATGACGACTCCATCGGAGATGATTGCACACTCACCTATGCGCCGCACACTCGGTCGCATGGGAACACACGCGCACACATACACGATCGACTAGGACGTTTTGTATCACATGAACAGTTAACTCTGAGAGCGTCTTTGGGCAATGGCTCCGTTCGACTGTCCATCTCCAATCGAAGCTGAAACAAGTCGTGTTGATGTCCACTGGAGCGCACTCATGATTCAGACGGATGCCTCAGATGTCGGAAAAGGCGGGACTCAATTGTCAATGTCGTCCAAATGGAAGACGGGGACGATAGTTGTGTTGGGCGCCTCACTGATATCGCAGAAGGCAGTATTGCGCCGACCACTCGGTCAGTGTCCAGCCGCGCCACGGCGTCTCACGATTGCCACTATGGGTCATAGTCCGGGACCGGCGGGCGGCCTGCCGAGTTTGGGACAGTTCAGTTCAGTGGTGGCCGGCCGCGGCTGTATCGGGGCTCATCCAACTACACGGCCCGCTCCGCTCACCGCTGTCAGACGACCGTGGAGCGTCTCACGCCGCCTTCTGCTGGTTGCCATGGAAACAGAACACCAGGAACGTGGTGTAGCCGACAAAGGCCACTGACACGGCGCCGATGGCGTACATGAACAGGTTGAGCTCCGGGTGCTTGTAGCGGTTCTTCTGCAGCCAGTCGAGTACCTCCGTCTCGTTCAGCAGGTCGCCTGCGGGAACATCGGTCGTTAACTGCCGCCCTTGGCCGGGTGATAATCGATAAATATTGACTGAAAAATAAGCAAATTAAGCATGGCCCCCTTTCCCTATCGTATCGTACATAGAGCCAATGCGCACATCATTGCCTCACATTTGTCATGGTAATTCCTTTTGGGAGGTATTTATAACGCATCTAGTTACTTTGCGAACTGACCTCTGTAGATGCTGGGGAAGCGCCTTCTGAAATACACCATGGCCGGCAGCTTGCTGATGCCGTACTTTTTGGCGTAGCGAGTGTCTCTGATCTTGACGAAGGTGATGTCGAGGTTGTCGGCCTCGTCGTCGATGGTCTCCAGCTCGGTGAGAACCTCGTCACAGCGCGGACAGTCGTTCTCATCTGAGAGCGATGAGAGTTAGTTATCAGAGACGAACGCACCGTCACTCGTCAGTCAGCAGTCCCGTACAACGGCGGCAAAATGGGCTATTTGTTCCACTGGTGGCAAATTTTCGGGAAATCGTCTTGGCAGCCCACACAACCTACAACTCGCACAGAACAATATTCGCTCTCGTCTAAAGTATCAACACATCATAAATGATGACAAGCTAAGTGGTGTAACGTACAGAAGTAGACGGCGACGAAGTCGTTCTCGTCGAGCAGTTTGTCCAGCATCTTGCGGTTGACCTCCTCGATTTCGTCTTTGATCTCCAACACGTCCTGAGAGGTCAGCCACGAGAGCACCTTCTCGTCGTCGGTCATGTCACCTGCGGGAAAATAAACAAACGTCAACATCGTAACTACCAACAACAAACACAGTACAACGTGACGACTGACGTCAGTAGACAAGAAACATGGTAAATATGACACTTGTGGGCAACAGACACGGTTATTATAATGCCTGAGTATGTACAACAGTCACAGTTGCCGGACGACCCCACATCGATGATTTATTGAAGAGCTCCAGAGTTGAACGAGCTAAAATTAGCGAAGCCACTAGCGGCCCAAGCAGCCACCCATAACTTCGTGTGCTGCTTATGTCCTCGCTTCTCTCATCAACCGCCCCTACCTTCATAGATGATGGGGATCCTCTTCCTGAAGTAGACGAGCGCCGGCGTGTGTAAGATGTGGTACTTCTGGGCTGCCTCCTCGTCACTGATCTTCACAAAGTCAATGCCTGGTGGGAACCGGGACAAAGAAGCTGGTCAGATGCACAGCACTCCGAGCGTCGTCGTTTAAGTACTCTGCAAACAATATTGCAAGCTAAGTAGAATCTTTGACTATGCAAGTTCCAGTAATGAACGCTCAAGACGTGTTCGCTTGATAAAACTTCCAATGATGCATGATCCCTCTCCTCTCCTGGTTAAATACCCTCGCAACATTGCCAGTGCTGTCTACGCCCGACCCTGGCGGCTGCAAGTTCACGACCCGTGATCCCGTGATCGCGTGACCGGCCTGTAGTGACCCAAAGCGTGGGTCTAGCAGCGCCCACCGTCACTCACCATACATGTCAGCCTCGTCGTCGATGTTCTCAAGCTCCTCCAGGATGGCTCCGCAGTCACTACACTCCTCGTCATCTGTCACCACGGGGCAGAGGTCAGGGTAGGGGTCAGGGCAGGTCACGGACAGAGGTGTCACCAAAGAGCCTGCAAACGCGGTAACGGGGGTTCAGAGCATTGACAAAAATGATTGTATCTATCAAGATCCGTCCAATGACCGGTCTTTGGGAAGATTCAGGTGATCTGTAAAGTAAATTCACAAACCCAAACCATGTCATCATCAGTCGACTGAGATGCGCAAAAAAAAATCACGAATGAATGGGAGCTTAGGTAGGTGAGATGATATTTTACGTTAGATTAGACTGGAATGGAAACTAAATCATCATTCACCAAGCTAACTCGAGTACGAAATGGTTTACCATGAAATAATTAAGTGGGTATTCACAATAAACAATAAACACAGTTATAAACCGCTAGTGAGGACACTGGCGAGAGGCGCCTGATAAGCGCATGATTTTGATAAGTTACTTCAGTCTACAAATATACATGTCGGAAACTAAGATATACCTAAACTCAACGTCATGCGAATGCGTTGATCTCATTAGTAGATAGTAGTACCGTACTTGGACCATCCGTCACTAACTAAACAAAACTACCGAGTACCAAATGGACGGGAGAGGGAGGGTGAGCGGACAGCGCCCGACATATAACACAGAGACGGTACGTTAATTCCTCCGAACTAAGCCATTCCCACTGACTGACTCGCGAACGATCAGAGTAACAGTAAAAGCAGGGCAGTGGCAAACACAAAGACAAGCATCTAACAGTGACTGTGCCCAGGCGTTGTACTGAAGCGCTTAGTGGCGGAGAGGTCGGGCCACAGGCACAGACCTACAGGGTGTGTCTGTGGGTCACGTGGGTCAGTGCGGTCAACTTACAGAGGTCCTTTCCGCCGGCTGCAATGCACAAATGTAGCGTTGTATAAGCATATAACGCTGGATCCTAGCAGCAAATAATCCGCTATCCATAAGCTGCTATCTAAAAGTTCACTGGCGCCCTTCATACACTATACAGCACACATACCTACATATGCATCAATCGAGCTTACACTATATGGCCTGCCAAAGCGATGGCAAACAGGCTTGAGGCTAATATCGGATTCGTTCGCGCCTAACTGCGGTAGTGATTGTAATGCAGCCCGAGTCGTAACTATTTGGCTTTCTGCTAAGCAACCGAAATCCGCTATTTGCTATTCCCCGTAGCCGCACGAAAAGCCCAATGACATACGAGAAGCACGCTACATGAAGTAGTCAGCCCCACAAATTGATATAGATCCCCGTACAAGAAACAACTATGCATACTACATAGTAAGTAGGCACTAAGCTCACTTTTGGTGACGTAATGGTGACGTTTTGCTAGCAAAACATGCCCGCCTATTCGGGAGCCTAGGAATGGTAGTCCAATACAAGGAAATTATACGCTATCAAAAATTACCAAAGGTTCCAACGCTGACGTCGACAATTCAGACGAAATAGCCATCCCCGGGAAAATTAGCCAGAAACTTATAAACTACATGCATCACATAAAAACAGCCGGCAATGCGCACACCTCTATCCCTGCCCTCCCCTATCCACCCGCCTGCACCACTCGCCGCCCGCGCCTCCTCCTACTCCCCAGTCCCCCGGAGACCACTCACAGAAGAAGACGGCCACGAACGGCGACTCGTCCAGCAGGCGCTCCAGCATGCGCGCGTTGATCTCCTCGATCTCGCCGACCAGCTCTCGGTTCTCGTCATCCAGCAGCCACTCGAGCACACCGGCGGCGTTCCGAGGGTCTCCTGCCGGTCGCCGGCAGCGGCCACATGCACACAGAGTCCGACCGAGCGCGGTCTCCCCACAGGGGAGGGCAAGGGAACCAGCCGCGGCCCCGCCGGACCACCCACCCGGGACCGCCGCCGTCCGCTGGATGGCACTGAACAGACACCGAACTCGTGCAGAATGGTCTGTGGTTTTTTGTTTGTTTTGTTGGGTTAGGCCCTTTCGGTCCAATGAGACCATTTCAGAGCCGGGAGGATGATAGGATATAGGGGGAGACATTGGTCTGGGCAGGCACCCTAGTGAGTCGCCGGGGCTAAGCCCGTCCAGAGGACAGGCCACCCAGCCCCAAGGCACTCACTGCACCCGGCTACGTGGTGCACTCCCTCAGGAGCAGCGGTGCCGCTCCAAGGGAGCAGCCCGCATGAGATAAAGTTGCCTGTCCAGCCCGGAGGAGGGTTGCGGCGTGGAGAAGGATTTCAGTATCCTGAGGATAGAAGCACGGAACGGTGGACTGTGGTTTGACGGACAGATGTAATGAGAAAGTGGTTAGAAAGTGTATCGAATATCGATATTATTTAGTAAATATCCGTGCGAGCCCGGTGACTGACAGTGCCTTTCATGGACCAGTTGACGTTCACCGGGGGAGAAGGGAAGTGCGGCCCACACACACTAGGTGGCAGGCCTGTCGATAACTAGGCCAATGTTTAGTCACAGATGAGTAAATTCGTCTCAGACGAAAGGGCAGTAGTCTATGTCAAGTCCGACTTCACTGCCACCTAGTGGAGAGCGCCGCAGACTCGGGTCCGGCTGAGCTCGACTGGTGAGGTCCAGAGTTCAGGTCAGGTCAGGTCAGGTCGGAGCGGGTGTTAGACCGGCTAAGGTGCGGATAGAGAGCACAGAGAGAGCACGCCGTAGGGTGAGAGGGCGGGAGCGGCGCACGGTGGGTCCGGAGGTGTGCGCCGACCGGCCCCGTTCGCGGTCCGGCCGGTGCAGCGGGTCGCCAGGGTCACCAGTCACCAGCAGAGGACGCCACCACAGCACGACACCGACGCGCCACGGCTGCGGCGCACTCACAAAACAGCGCGCACAGAAACGGCGACACCTCCATCAGACGCTCGAGCATGGCCCGGTTAACGGTCTCAATCTCTCCGAACAGCTCTCGGCTGTCCTCGTCAAAGAGCCACTCCATCAGCTGGTCGGCCGAGCGGAGGTCGCCTGCGGGCCGGGCGGCGCCAGCGGTCACCACAGGCACGAGCTCACCGACCCGTCCGGGACAACCCGGCACCAGCCGCCGGTAGTACCTGCAGCACCCTGTATAATCTGCAGCATATGGCGATCGGAATTTAGCTGGTGTGACATTCGTAGTGTCTTCTCGCTATGTCCGTGCGAAGTTTTCGGACACAAATGCATGGATAATAAAAGAATCATCAACAATGCAATGAATTAAAAATGTGTGTGTGCATGTTGATGTCTGAGCAAGCATCATAAAAGATTTACATTGGCGAATGTGCGTAGCATACACTATTCTAAACGAGCAAGCAATGCAGCCGATATGATGTTCTCTTCAAAATTATTTAAGGAAACGTTTCAAAGCAAAACTGATACTATTTACAGCGATATTTATGCGATACTATTACAGCGATACTGTTTATTTACAGCGATATTCAAATGAACATTATGTATCTGTAATAAAAGGTATGCTGGAAAGCTCGTATGCGAATGCAAATTAGTGTCAACTGTTGCATTAGTTAATCTCAAAATTACAATAATTAAAAATAAAATGAATACGTCGCCAAAGAATAACTTTAAATGCGTACCGTCGCTGATATATTAACCTTTACCTAGGTATATGGGCTTATATTTCCGACTATGTAAGACATACGGGATAAGCTTATTAATCATCAAGAGTTTGAAATAAAAGTGAAACATATCATAGCGAGTATCCACGCCACATGATTATGCGACAAAACTTTATCAATAAAACCTAATACTTTATTCCTATCTTAGATTTGAAGCATCTAATGGTACCCAGCAACACTTAACTATCACCTTATCGAACTGAATAATATGAAAGTAGTTCACTCAGCCCAAGCTCAGCCGAAAGAAAGCTCTACGTGGCAATAACATCAAGAGGCGAACAGCACCAAACATCATACTTTAAATTTCGCCTAACAGCACAGACGTGAATCATGTATTTCGAGCATAACTTAAAATCGTCACTTATGCCAGCATGCTTATGATGCAATACCAAAAAATGCAAACAAAACAAGCGAATGCAAATCTCAACTGAGTGGTTAACGCATGCAACAAACCAAAGCAAACCGAGGAGGTTGAATTAATCGAAAGTAAGTGTAAAAAGAAATAAACAGGCAGAGTTATGTGCGATTTAAAAGACCAAAACGCAAGCGAAACTTGCTTTGGGACGGCAAGCATAGCGCATGTATGTTCCTAATGTCTTGGCATTTGCATGAGGAAGCCGATGCCGACCAGACCAGCAGGCAGCAGCCGACATCCTAGAAAGATGGTGCAGCTTCCCACCAATATGGTGAAGGGAAAAGAAGTCTTCAAATCCCTCTGCAGCAGCTGGAACGGACTCCAAAGCTGGTGCGATCTCTAAGAGTAAGGATGCCCTCCGAAAGACGCAGTGAGAGAACAAAATAGTGTTGAAACAGCTAAGCCAGGTAACCGCAGTAAAGAGGAAGGAAGGCATCAGAATGCGGTAAGAAGGCCACCTGTTACAAAACTAGTTTATTCAAAATTGCGACACGTTTTATGAAAACCACACATCGAATAATGCAATTATTGTCTCCGCAAAAATGTCAGAAGCTTTACTCGAGCATATTAAGGCGAAAGGGCCCCAAACATAATGCGTCATTCTGCATGTCAGCTAAGGAGCCTCAATGGAAATAAAAATGGAGACCAGCAAAACACTTTTCCATTCGGTAAACAAGCTATAATTGCAGCCTGCGAAAAAAAGTAGCCGGCAGCGACAGACGACTGAAGTCATAACTCTGTTGATGAAATCGATGGTCCAACAGCATCCTTTCTGTTTAAGCTGAGAGCCGAGAATCGACGACGAAATGGCAGCTGGAAAGACGAGCCAACAACGTACAGCAACTGTATGTCGACGATACAACCAAAAGTAGAACGAGATCACGGCGGCGCCCAGTGCTGATGAAACAGGACGACACAGGAAAGAAGTGGACGCACGAAAGGAAAGAAGCGGACATGAGGAGAACAGAACATTACAAAGAAAAACAAAACAGTAAAGCTATTCACTAAAAACGAACAGAAAGAGATCAATTTTAATTGAGTCATAAAACATTATTAAACGTTCATTGACGAAAAATATCAAGTTATCACAAAAAAGAGCGTAAAACATTAGTACATTAGCACAAAAGACATCAAGACGTACAAAACATCACGTACATCCCTTGAGTAATGAATATGACGTCTCATACACTACACTCTACACTATGATTGAACTTCAGTAAATCATTGTTCCTTAATAAAATGCAAATACTTCACCGCGACGGCATTGAATGACCCTTCAAGACACGTGTGTTCCGAGTTCATCATGCTAGCCCCGGCGGCTCACCCTCGTAGATGAGCGGGTTTCCGTTCCGGAAATAGACTAGCGCCGGCAGAGTCTTGATGCCGTAGCGCTTGGCCAGCTGCGGGTCCTGGATCTTGACCATGTGGATGCCGTAGAGGTCGCACTCGTCGTCAATCGTCTCCAGCTCAGACAGCGCCACGTCGCACGCCTTGCAGTTCGGCTTGTCTGAGGAGCAGTAAAGAAAGTGGAAACGTAACAAACTATGTAAATATACGGGTAGAAGGGTAGAATATCGATTCTTGGCAGTGAACACCATCGAATCAAAGCGCAAACTATCTACCTGACTTTACAGTACTTACAGAAGAAGACGGCGAGGTACTGGGTGTCCTCCAACATCTGCTCCAGCACGCCCCGGTTCACGGTCTCGATCCTGTCCTCGGTCTTCTGCAGGACCAGCCACTGGAGCACGTCCTCCTCGGCTCGGAGGTCGCCTGTCGGACAGGGTCGGAGAGGTTAAAGACGGGACAGACCTCGGTCGGGGTGGGGTCACGGTGAGGCGAGAGTCATGTAATGTGGTAGGCGGTGCCTAGGTAGAACCGCATAAGAATTAAATCCGTTGAAGCCAGCTCAACTTGGAAGGCTTTAATGGATGTCACATTTCTATATGGATCTTTAATAGCATAGAACTGTAGAGGCAGGCTTCAGCTTACCTTCGAAGACGCTAGGCGTTTGTTTCTCGAAGTAGATAAGTGCGGGGAACTCTGTCACGCCGAACGAGTTGGCCATCTCCATATCCTGGAAAGGCACACAGTCGAGAGTTTAGCCATAAACATCCACAGAACAGGGGAAGATACCTATCAACGCATTTGAATATTTAATTAGGTATATGATCGGATGCTTTCTAACCGGAAACCCAGGAGCAGCACCCACCACGACAAAAGGCTAAAGCGCCATAAAGCTAAAGAACGTCATTCGTTCGGTCCATTTCTGCAGACTATGACCACTCACCTGTGTCTTGACGAACTTGATGCCGTGCCGGTCGGTGTCGTCGTCAATATTCTCCAGCTCCTGCAGAATGATGGCGCAGTCGGCGCACGAGTCGTTGTCTGCGGGGAACGGACCGTCAGTGAGGTGAATGTATGTACAGCGGAGTACGGCCGGAGCAGTGGGGGCTGGTCTGGTGAGGCGGTGTCTCGAGGAACAGGCGCAAAGACTGGGGTTACATAAAGGCACACATATTGACATGAAAACGTCTCAGATATACACAAAACACTTTTTGATAGAGATCGATCGATTGTAAAATGAAATATAATGGTTGTGTGTATCAGTGTACTGAAGTCTTCAACAATTTACAGAAAAATATACCAAAAGAAAGTGCATGAGCTCAAATCATTTCTGAAGAAGTACGGAGATGTAAAGCAATTCACAAAATAAAGTGGGTGTTGCAAGAGGTGTGTATATCGGTAGCAAAAATAATCAGCGAAAAATATGCAAATGAGAATGTAAAATGGACTGAAAATAGAGCAGAAAAGAGAGTATTGGTATGGCGAGAAAAAAAAAAAAACTTCGTAGCATACAGGGATGAGGGGCGAATAAGCAGCTACGCCAGGCAAACACCTGAAATACCTGAAATAACGACAGGTCAACCGAATCGAACCACGCGCAGGATTACACTGCAATTCACGCGGTACCGCCCAGGAAAGGCAACGCAAAGTCAACTGAGTGGGTGGCATCAGGTGCAACTGAGGCTGGGTCAGACTCGGGTGAGGCGTGCTCATCTACCGTCAGCCTCTTCAGCGGCCGCTTCAGCTGGCTCTTCATCATCGTCTACCGGCTCACAGTCCGGAGTTTCCTCATCATCGTCATCGTTTTGGTCGTCATCTGGCCCGGCGGCCGGCGCCGCCTTACGGTCGAGTTTGGCAGGAGCGGGGGATTTGTACAGAGCCGCTAGATATTTGTCCAGCTGCTGCATGTCACAGCCGTCGCAGACTGAAGCGTTCCCTAAAAGGCGCATGCACTGTAAGCTAGACAATGGACTGAAAGCTTGAACACCCACAGTCAAACGTACTAGCAGGCAGCTAGTGTCGCGCGGGGAAACATGGAGTTGCGAGCATGAATGACCGACACACAAAGGCGACACAAAATCAGTACCATTCACATATATACATATGCATATACAAGCATGTAAGTACTTTGCCCTGTTCTGTCCCACCTGAGTGTTGAAAGTGGTAGATAATCGAGGAAGAGCAAAATCGAGGATTAGTGGGTGGATCTGTTTCGTGATGTTCCGTTGTTTTATTTTACGATGTAAGCCATTTACAATTACTATTTACAATTACAATTACCATTTACAGTTCTAAGAATGATCAAACTTCGATGCACACATTTCGTTAGTCCTGCCGCCTGAAAAAATGTGATGGCGCTCTAAATCAACCCTCTCTGCTCGCTAGTCCCAGCAACTCACAAAAGTAGACGGCGATGGCGTCTGAGATGTCGATCTGTTTCTGCAGCTCCTGGCCGGAGAGCTCTTCGATCACCTCCGAGCCGGGGTTCTTCTCGACCAGCAGCCACTCCAGGATCCGCTCCTCGTTCTTCAGGTCACCTGTAGATGCGGCAAGAGACGGGAGAGATCAGTGATCAGATAGCGACCGATCGCAAGCTAAGCCACGACTGTTTCAGTTTAAAACATCCATCCGTTTTCGTTAAAATCGTATCAACACTGATAATTAATGTCATCTTACCGTTAAGTAATGAGGTATGTCTCTTTTTCTAAGAAGCACGGATAACTTAACCATGATTCAGTGAAGCCCAAAGATAACTTAGCCGAGCAATCGAAGCTGGGCACTATATTTACCGGCGTAGATGACTGGGTCAGCCTCGTCGCCGCGGAAGAGCACCACGGCAGGCAGCGCGAACACGCCGTATTGCCGCGCCAGCTCCATGTCGTCGATCTTGACGAAGTCGATGCCGGCCGCGCCCGCCTCGTCGTCAATGTGCTCCAGCTCCTGCAGTACCTTCTCACACTGCTTACAATTCTTCTCGGTGTCTGACGGGTGAAACAATGACCGGATGCGTAATCGTCAAGTACGGGAGGGGCACTGACGCAGCACAGCGAATTACACAGGATACTTCAGCAGGAGAAACGCACGACAGCTTTGGCTGTTTCACTTCATTATCTAATTTTGCAGTGCGAAACTATTATAATGGTTCGTTTACCATTCAATTTAATTCCGATTTTACTACTCCGTTATAATATAGAAAATGAAGATGGACTGATATCACATATCAACATACGTTGAGCAGGAATCCTGATAGGCTATAAAAAACACCATTAGGCAAAATATAGGAGTAACTTTGAGTTGCGGCTGCGCACAGTCCATCCCTGCCCTCGGGCCTTACAGAAGAACACGGCGAAATAGTGGTCGGTTCGCTCCACCAGGCGGGCGAACATTTTGCGGTTGATCTTCTCGATCGCGTCGGTGAGCTCCATATTATCGGGGTTCGTTAGCCAGTCGAGAATTTCCTCCTCGTCGTAAAGATCACCTGCAAAGTGTGGCGGGGTACGAGTGTGGTTTACAAAACCCAGTTGTACAACGTTTAAGAAGAGAACGTACCACATAACGGTGAGAGCCTATGTTTCGCGGACAAGCGCACAATTTATTCCTGGCAAGAAGTTATGTAGAATACTTCGTTGCCAATTTCACCTCTTGACGCGAGAACTGTGCGACAATTTTATCAGTACCTAACTATGCAACAGGGAATGTGAAACGTACGTACAGCTCAACGTCGCGTTGCTTTTACCAATATGATGTCACTAAATTAAACACTAAATTCAATGCCACTGTAACTGAATGAAGTCAGACAAAGGCTCCGTTTGTTGAATTCTCACGAAATGTGTTGAAAAACGGATATTATGAAATAACGTCAACAAATGATAATGATAGGCGATAAGGCTGCACATGCCCGATCCCACGCAGCCACACGGAAGCAGATGCCCATACACTGGCGTCAGTGTCATGTGAGCGCCGAGCGTCTGCAGGCAGCAGCACCTACCGTCAAACTTGATGTGCTTTCCCTTCCTGAAGTAGGCCAGGCCGGGCGGGTCGCGGAAGCCGTACTTCTTGGCCATCAGTTTGTCGTTGATTTTCACGAACCGGATTCCGTACTCGGCTGCCTCGTCATCAATCATTTCCATGTATTTGAGCACACTGGAACTCTCAGAGTTATCTACGTCTGCAATTAAGTGAGAATACAACATCAGTTCTACTGTATTTTGCTCCATGAACACTGCAAATAATGAAATAAAAGAGCATCCCAAATAGAGTTCTGAGAAGATACAATAACTTAACTTTAGTTTAAGATTGTAACAACAATAATCATTTTAGCTTGCAATTGAAGAGCTGACAAGGTTCACACTCAACATATACTTCAAGTCAAGTGAGGTGGTCAACTCACAAAAATAGACGGCTAAATAGTCCTCGCTGTCGATCAGGGACAAGAGGGTAGGGCGATCAATCTCTTCAATGGAGTCGTCATCTTTCACTTTGATGGCCCAGTCTAGGACCGAATTTTCGTCCGTGAGTTCGCCTACCGGAGCAGCGGGGGGACTTATCAGGGGTGTCGGGGGGGGGGGGGGGGGGGGGAGGGGCACGTGCAGGGCGGCACGTGACCAGCTGGGCCCTCCCACGGGAGTCGGCGGCGCGCGTCAGCTCCCACTGATAGCCGTAGGGAAGTCGCACAACGGTGTCGTGCGACTCGGGCAGACACAGGCGAGCCGCGCAGACATAGTCGGATCCATGGCCTCGAAAGCTGCTTTATATAGTCACCACAACAGCAGATGTTCGCTCGAAACACAATAGTCTAAATGGCAAAAGTTGTTTTTAAATGACACTTATTTAAAGCAGCAGAATGATATACTCATTATTTTCTTACATTAGGGTAAATTGCTGCTATGTTTCAAGTAATTCTTTTACAATGATCCTCGCTTTAATGTGTACAAGGGTAAAAAGAAAGAAAAGTCACAGCAAGAGAGGGCATGAAATAAAGAAGGGTAACAATGTGGGAAAGGGCTGGGGTAAAACGTGCTATGATAATAAATTTGCAGAATAAAATACTGCGTTCAAACCTGAAATAGAATTAAGAAGGAGCACTGCATCCACCTGGTCTTGGGAGGAAAAGGATTCATATTTAGCCATCTAGAGTGACTAGACCTCGACAGGATATATTCTGCAGGGGATACCAAGGAAATAGAACACGTCACGCAAACGAATATCAGCTGAGGTAACGGGACTCACTGGCTATTGAAACAAATGAGTATCGCAGCAGGTTAGAACAAACGAATACGACGGACAACGATGAGAAGAGACGCGGACAAGGTGTTAGGCCATCCTCAAAGACTGCAGCTAGAGCACCCAGCCTATACTGGCCAGGTCTCGAAAATTTGCCTAGAAAATCTGCGCATCCGGTCCAAAAATATCCCAGCCACCAACTGGACCAAAAGTGCGCACCGAGAGTCGAGCGCGCCAATTAGTTTGCCTTGAACCAGACGCTGGTCGCTCAGACCAGCGGCGACCCGTCTGCGCTTCCAAAGACCAATCCAAAAGGTGGCCGCCCTCGTTCGCAAGGCGACCATCACGCCACAACGAGAGATAGAACAGAAAGACCTCGTCTGACCGCATGCAGGAAAGCACTGCCGCGCCCTGGCTCCTCACTGCGCTCGAGGCACACACCTACACCCACAACAGGCCAAAGCGAGACAAAAGTGCACGGGAAAAAATAGCAGGGACGAGAGTAATAGACAGAACGAAGAAGATAAGTGAGTGTGTGAGTTCCAAGAGAAGATAGAGCACAACGACAGAGAGCGAGGGTGAGCGGAGTGAGCGGCGGGCTGACTGGGGGACGCCGGCCGCCGCCGCCGCCGTGCGCGCGCGCTGGCGCTGAGCCAGCCCGGTGCGGCGCGGCCGGCCGCCAGACGACACTGCACACCATGTACGCACGAGGGCGGCGGCGGCGGCGGCGGCGGCGGCGGCGCTCAGAGGCGGCGCAGCAGAGTCCAGCAGACCACGGCACAGAAGGCATGCACGCGGCCCGGAGTCGGCGGAGCACTAACACTGTTCGGTCGGCCTGACCCCTGCTTGCCTTGCCGTCTGTCCGGCGGCGGGCAGCATTGGTAAGCGTTGCCGCCGTCCACCTTCATCGAGAAACACTGCTCCTTCGAGAAGGGCGCTGTGGCTGTGGTGTCGGAGTCGCCTGCAGGCACACACACCGCCCGGTCAGCGGTCTCCGGCGCCGGGCCAGGCGCGGCCACACCAACGGCGAGACTGAGACGAGCAGCTCGTGCCACCACAGGACTCTAGCGAGTCCTTGAGGCCTAGTGAAGCAGCCAAATGCCGAAAACGACACAGCCCGAGGCGAGTTACAACCGAGGATTGAGCCACCAGCGGGCCAGAGTGAGCATCGGCAGTGCTTTCCCACAATTTATCTCGACGTTAATGTTCTCTGGTTCGCGCCGAATTTTCGCAGTTTTACGCGCCGGATAGCGAGTCGAATAGCGGAGAAAGAGTGAAGAGAGGTGCTTACTTTTTTGGGTCAAAACCCACTGTAGCACGGCTTCTTCTTTCTTTAGATCACCTAGAATGTTCGGGATGGCATTGGGTCAGAGATGGGCGTGCGAAAACAGAGTTCGCTCAGGGGTCAGGAACGAAAACACGCTGGGTTACAGTGTGTCTAAAAAATAAACGGTAAACTAGCTAGACAAAAAACAGAAAGTTGCGACTAAAACATCATCAGTTACCGGTGGTCGGATACTAAAGACGTCACAAAGGCACACACATGGTAAATGACACAGACCAACAAGGCGTTGTGTCGTGTGGTTTGCGTCAGAAACGAGCATGTTGCTGGCTGCTGCTATGCGCAACAGCATTGATGAAGCATAGAGCCGTGAAGCCTATCCTAAAACTATCCCTGCCTACTTTTAGATGGAACTAGCAGGCACATAACAAACACCCGTATGCCTATCAAGTGGAATATCAAAGCAATAAGTGACAGTCAAAATCTGGCCTGACTTAAGAATAAGAACGCAATGATAGATTCTTAGATGGCAGAACCCAGCAACGAAACCCTCCCCATTTAACAGCTAACTTGCCATCAGCTCAATGCCATGCACATTATACCATCCTAACAAACCAATCACTGACTACATAATACTCCGGTATCCCATCTCCGGTACCGGTCGGTCTCCATTTCCAAACCCCATACAATACGCTATCCTAGCCCCTCCCCTACCGACTACAGCTTGCCCTCTGACCCCCACCCGACCCCGGGCCGGGTCATCAGACCGGCCTCCCTCACCGTTGTAGACGATCGGGACCGAGTCCTCAAAGTAGACCACCGTGGGGAACGTGTGGATGCCCAGGCTCTTGGCGAACGCCGTGTCCATGGTCTTGACGAAGTGGATGCCGGCGTCGTCAGCCTCGTCGTCAATGTTCTCCAGCTCGGCCAGGATGGCGTCACAGTTCTTACACTTCTCGTCATCTGCCCGACAGTCGCGGCGTTAGGACGACACGCTAATGCGCAACATACAATTTTATTACATGAATGACCTACAATCTTTCGACTAGATAATTCGAATGTCGCACAAATTATAAACAAGTGAAAGTGTCTGGGTTTTCGTACAGAAGAAGACGACCAGGTAGTCGAGCTCGTCGACCATCTTCTGCAGCTGGGCGCCCTTGACCTCCTCGATGACGTCATCGGCGACCGTGTCCTTCATCTCCATCAGCCACTCGAGCAGCTTGTCCTCGTCCTTCAGATCGCCTATAGACACCATAAAAGCGTGAACAATGAAATTTCGCCGAAATGGCTAGTTATAATATCCAGACAAAGGTCACAGCAATGATATCTAATGAGGCATTCAAAATAGCATCAAGGAATAAGAATGAACGGAAATGTTACGCTACTGAATACAAAATTTTAAATGAGCACCACAAAAAACATGAAATCCTCCCGATAGCGGATTCTTCATTCACAAAACCCGACCCATGCATGTTTGCGTACCTTTGTAGACGACCGGCTTGTCATTGTGGAAGAAGACGATGGCCGGCCGGGTGACCTGGTACTGCTTGGCGGCCAGCGAGTCGGAGCACTTGACGAACGTGATACCGGCCCTCTCCGTGTCGTCGTCAATGTGCTCCAGCTCCGCCAGGATCGCATCCGCGTTCTTGTCCTTCTTCTTGTCTGCGGAGGGAAAGGGAGCGGTAAAAGTTAGCAGGCTTGAAATTGTTTTGGCTTTTGGAGGCGTCGTATAATGTATCATGAAGTGAGCATATTTAGTGCGAATAACTTGGCCAAAAGATTCACCATGTCACATAAACAGACTACCCACATAACGTAAGAAGCCGTAAGTCACTGAAGCAAGTAATCGATGCCAGATCACAGGACATTATCTTCCCATCTGACTCACAGAAGAAGGCGACAACGTCGTCACTGTCATCGTCGATGAACTTCTTGAGCATGCGTCCGTTGACCTCCTCGATCTGGTCGGGCAGCTCCAGAGTCTTGTCGTCCGTCAGCCACTTCAGCACGGCCTCCTCGTCTGCGATCTTACCTGCAGAAAATACCACCCAGGCGTGTACACACGGTTAGATAGATGTGGTGGTGGATTTGCATTTTGCGTCGTAACGTCGTGTCTCAAGTGCTGCTGGTGCTTGAACGAGTAACCTTATAATAAAAAAATGTAACACTTGTTCATTGAATTCAAGCTGACAGCAATATCCGGATATTCGCACGTAATCAAACCTTTGCACTATCTGCAAACAATCCACTTACCCGGATAGGCCAGAGGGTGACCATTCTTGTACAAGACGAGTGCGGGGAACTTTTTGATGCCCGCCGAGCTCTTGGCGAAGCCGGTGTCCTCGGTGGTGACGAAGATGATGCCGTGCTCGTCCGTCTCGTCGTCAATGTTCTCTAACTCGTCCAGCAGCCGGCTGCACTGGTCGCCCTTCTTGCATGGACCGCCTGAGAGCGGTGGGAGGGAGCGGGAGAGGGGGCGAGTGATGGTAGTGGTACCGTCAAAGAGGGATGGAGGGAGTGAGGGAGGGGATAGAGGTGGAAAAGGAGAGAGAGAGAGAGAGAGAGAGAGAGAGAGAGAGAGAGAGGGAGAGGGAGAGGGAGAGGGAGAGGGAGAGGGAGAGGGAGAGGGAGAGGGAGAGGGAGAGGGAGAGGGAGAGGGAGAGGGAGAGGGAGAGGGAGAGGGAGAGGGAGAGGGAGAGGGAGGGAGAGGGAGGGGGAGGGGGAGGGAGAGGGAGAGAGGGAGAGAGGGAGAGAGGGAGAGAGGGGAGAGAGAGAGAGAGAGGGAGAGAGAGAGAGAGAGAGAGAGAGAGAGAGAGAGAGAGAGAGAAAGAGAGAGAGAGAGAGAGAGAGAGAAGATAGAATGACGTGGGTGTGGGTCGAGGGTCTATGCTAAGAGCCAAACACTTTTAGCAAGCAATTTATGCACAATCATACAATGCCGATAGTCATTCACTTATGTATAAAGCAAATAAAGGTTCAGCTCAAGAGTAGGAATAGACGGAAGCATACCTGTAACAAATCATTTAATAAATGAAATAGATCATATCACAAACCATATGGCAATCGATTAAAATAAAACAACCTAATGACCGTGGGGTAGAATGAAAGCAACGAAAAACAACCGTTTAATTTTTACGAACATAATCGTTTCTTTACGCAAATAGTGATCGGGCAGAGCTTTAACTGAGAAAGTGGTGCGCATGCCAACTGAAATAACTCATTTGAAGCGGCTCATACGGGGAACACTGTAACACTCGCGTACTCACGACCTCCACGAAAACCTACCGACTGAAAATCAAGTAAAAATATGGCGTTATTCGAAGTTCTTAAACACCGCATTTGTATTTGTATTACCGACAATGTATTGCATTATACAAATGTGCGAGCGTAATACAAAAATGTGCACCAGTGCCTTGATATTCACAGATGAGTCGGTAAAAAAACATTTAACAATCAAATGTTAGAACCATGTAAAAAGTCAAATGTTAAGGATAGGCTTCGACTAACTAGTGGAGTGGCATGTTCACATTTATAATGCTATCATTCGACCTTTTTTAGCTACTTTATACAGAAAGTGACCAGAATACGTCATGACCACCACGCTGAATTTCAAATAAACCAGGCACCGTATTTGAGGTACAAATAAAAAAAAAAAATGGAAAAATAACTGAACCTATAACGGCACTTATATACTTATAATTTGCACAATTATTCTTTTACTTCAGCGTGACTTATTCTAGTCTAAATCTTCAGTGTTAAGGTGAACACAATTTTCACTGCCAATTAGAGTTGTCCGTGATCTGGATATAAGATATGTGAATGTTTGCAAGTGATTGACAGGACATGAGCCATGTTTGTTAGCACGCACGCCCACCCGTGCCAGCCGTGTCGCCGACTCACTGTAGTAGACGGCGACGTAGCCGTGATCCTTGACGAGGTCGTCCAGGATCTCATCAGTGACCTCCTCGATGGTGGAAGACTCCTTCTGCTCCACCAGCCACTCCAGCACCTGGTTCTCGTCGTTCAGATCACCTGAGGGCGCGGCCAGTATCGGTCAGACGGCAACAGACAGCTCGACATGTCATCAAAACGAGATAAGCGAGGTATTCATTTGTCGGAAAGAGGCTGTTCATTCAAAGCAATGAAGAATGCTGCGGAAATCAAGCACTTAATAGAAAAAAAGAAAAATCATGCATATGTAGAGCGGATACGAGCTGCAGTTGTGTTTCATTTACCGGACATATGCTCATACTGCACATCACTGACCTTCATAGATGCTGGGGATCTGGTTCTCGAAGTAGACCAGCGTCGGTAGCTCCTCGATGCCGTACTCCTTGGCTTCCTCGTCGTTGTCGATCTTGACGAAGACGATGCCGTGCTTGTCGCACTCGTCGTCGATGTTTTCCAGCTCGACCAGCGTGTTCAGGTCCTGCTTGTCATCCTTGTCGTCTGAAGAACAGCGGCGACTAATCAGCACTCTATCTTATTCCGCTGGTAATTTGAGACGTTCGGGGTCACAAGAAAGAGGTGATATTCTCAAAATGTTTTTTTTTCTTTTTACACATAACTTTCTTTTTATCTACTGCCCTGCGTTTCAAAAGAAGATATCAAAACACTATTGTCTCATAAATATGACCAAAGCAGTACACAACAACTACGATCACAGATGAATAGAGAAATGCAGTTTATTTATTAAAAAAAAAGAACTGGGTATAAGAATGGGGGTTCCACCACTGCAAACAGGGAGCGATATCACTCGTGCTTCATGGATAACCCGCATAACTGAGATGGTCGCAGATCGGAAACAAAATCACAACAAAGCACTTCCATTCGATCCTGACAAAATTATAAAGTACACATTAAAATATCGGTCATGAAATAAGATAAGGAAGGTAAGAAAGGAAATAAGTGAGAGGAAAGGGAAACAAAAGTAACTGCCTTCAGGTATTCAAAGATTTATTTCAACTTATTTTTATAAATCATAAAGAACGCAAACGGAAGATGAAATCTAGCTACGAAACAAATATTGCACTCAGCAATGGTCCCGATATCTAAATAACCAATATGTTAACAGAAAATGCCGCTTTTGAGGTTTCTTTTTTAACAGAAAAGCGGGGAACAAGTTCACACAACCATGCATACAACTCTATTATACTTCTTTTGATAAGAGAGGGCAATCTCAAAAGCTAGTACTCACGAACAAACTAACTTACCCCCTGAAAATCAGAAGGCCAGATAATAAGGTTAGACGCCGGACCATTAGCAGAATAACACATTTCAGTGTACGTGTAGTGTAGTGTTATTTTATGAGATGTGGCATGCATCCAAGATATAGTAACATCAATGATGCATACTTGTAGACAATATTTTCCCTGGCGCTTGATTAATGATCGTCGTTCGTGCATTTATATTGAAACTAAGAAACAAACATACGTATCATATGCATTCATATTTGTTAATTATGACGCGCTAAGGTGCCACGATACCCATTTACGAGTGATCAAATTGGCAATCAAGGGTTCTAGAGTATATGACGAACAGTGTGGACATCAAAGAACTAGCAGGCTAACGGTAGCTGGTTAAACTGCATTCACGTACACATTAACCTTAAATAGGTTTTCATGCAGCTACCTAAAACCAAATGTTCTCTGCTACCTCAAACGTGAAAGAAAATGAGTCATGATGCTGTGTAAAAATCAGTCAATCGTTCTGTTGTCGTCTACTAAGGATGACGAAACACACATCGTTTCTGCTCACTATGCGTGACTAGAGTGGGGGAAAGGAGACACCTGACACCACACCGGTAGATATACGCGCGCATTCAGTCACCATGACAAGACGTGGCTTGACTCAAACGACAGAGCGGCTAAAAGAATGGAGACTAGGCACCCAGTTTCCATCCCACCTCCAAGACCAGTATACGCAGAGCGGGCGGCGGGTACTCACAGAATACGGCCGCCACGTAGGGGTTCCTCTCGATGATCTTGTCCAGCATCTCGTCCGTCACGTCCTCGATCTCGTCCGAGGAGACCTGGCGCACTAGCCAGGCCAGCACCTCCTCCTCGTTCATCAGGTCACCTGTGCATCATCAGTTTCGTCAGGTCCAGGGGTGGAATCCGTCAGGTCACCGGGTCTCAGGATTCGCCGGGGTAGACTTATCGAGTTATAATAGCGGATCTATCAGGACATTTGGTCACTATGGTGAGCAAGTCAGGTCATCAATGTCAGAAGAGCAGACTAGTGCCAGCTGTCAGGCAGTGTCGATCACCGGAACACACACGAGAAAAACAAAACAGACACCAGAGGTCTTCCCCTCTGATGGATGGCCATCGCCCCAGTTGTTTACCATCTGGGAGTGTTTACGGTACCATGGACGGGCGTGCTTGCATATTTCGACTAAACTGTTACTCCCGGCACAAAGACGATAAAGAAAACAGATAAAAGCAAATACAAAATGCTCCCTTCTTCTGGCGATTTTCGTTACCTAAGCAATTGACACAACTCAATTTTCCTGATTCATGTTACTAAATCGTCGACAACACTCGGCAGCAGCTGTTGTCACCGCTTAGCGCTCAGCGCTCACCGTCATAGATGCTGGGGATCTCGTTCTCGAAGTAGACCAGTGTCGGCAGCTGCTCGATGCCGTATTCGATCGCCTCCTCCGTGTTGTCGATCTTGACGAAGACGATGCCGTGCTCGTCACACTCGTCGTCAATGTTCTCCAGCTCGACCAGCACCTTCTGCGACTTCTTCTGGCCCTTGTCATCTAGGGGACGGGCGAGCGGTGAGGGGGCTGGTGTGGAGAGGGGTGCAAGGAGAGGGGCAGGCAGGGAGGGCCGCACGGATGGTGGAACTCGGCGCAATGGGAAGGTGCCAATAAAGCAAATCGTGGCTCCTTGTAACATGCAATCAGCTGCAGCTCTTTAGCAGATACTGGTCAAAGGCTCCCAGTGAGCACCTCGAGCACATGCTGAGGCATGAACTCCTCACTGAATATTTCGTGTTTTTTATAGCTCAATCGTTTCCAGGCGGTGACAATTATGCGCAGAATGGCTTTTTTCCGTTGTGAGTGAATGGCTTGTTTTATCCACCATTATTACTTTTCCACCTTCCTGCATAAAGGCGGCTTAACTATGTTCTCAAACATTTCATGCATGCTTACTACTTGTGTCGACCTACGGAATCAGGAAAACAAATATTTGAGTCAGAACGACGTGGCACTGCAACTGCGCACACCTATTTTATTAAGCTGACTATCGGGTAAAAGCCGGTAAATAAAGATAAACTTGTGTATGAAGAAAGAAAAATCACGAATAGAGGCCTAAAGACACACTCATTTTAACGTCGAAACCCTAAGAACAACTTACATGCGGATCTTCTCAACAAAATACTCTAAAAGATCTTCGAAGGAATGTCTTGTCATGCAAAATCAAGCGACTACTGAATAAAAATGCAGCTGATTTTCGACATGAAAACTGAGATTGACGCATGCGCACTGTCGCCGTGCCCATGGGAACTAAAAAGGACGGTGAGAGACGGAGCGCTGCTGTAAGCTGTTCCACACGTGTATGTCTGGTCCTGTGCTGATGGAATGGGGTTTGGGAGTGGGGAGGGACCGAGGTGTCCCGAATCGGACCTACGGGGACAGCGCTGGGGATGACTCGGCGGTACTTACAGAACAGTACAGTCACATCATCGTGTTCCGCTGGAAACAGACGACGGACGTAACGGACCACCGAGGACGCACACAGACAGACACACACAGAGACTAGGGCAGACGGAAGGTCAGTCGGCAGACAGGGAGAGGAACAGACGGATGGACGGGCGGCCGGTGGAAGGGTGAAGATGACAGACGAACAGGCAGACAGACCGGACAGACTCAGAGAGACAGATAAGTGGCAAATAAACTACCGTGCTCTGCCATAAAATTACATTCAGCCCCAACCAATAAGAGAGCACAAAAGGCCACATTTCCATTCTTATTTCACCCCATACGTTTTATAGAACGAAGATCACCGCTCTTCGATGCATTATCGTAAAGAAACGTGCTTAAACGAGATACTACATTTGACAATCATATACATCGTCAACTCACAAGCTTTCTACTACATCTGAAGATGCCGCTCAAAACAAGCATAACTGATGCAGGCATATACTTAACACGCTCTTAACTGAGACATTCTATCGCAGTGACTTACGCATTCCTGATAACCGCGTTTAGGGAAATGGCTTTCCTTCGTTAAAGACCAATGAGATGACGTCCGAACGTACATAGTTATTATGAGAAAACACAGCAATGCATACTCGAAATGCAAGTACTATAACCTCGAAACATCATCAAATCATAATCTCTCTGCGCGCAAATGACATTGTGACCCGATTGTTTTACCAAACATGCGTGGTTTTCATAACAGTTCTGCTCCCCATGAATGCTGCATATTTCGACGATCATCAAACTAAATGTCTTTCGATGAACTCTAGCAAACAAAGACGTCACAATTCAGCTCTTTATACCATGACTCTCGGCCTGAGTTCAGACGCAGACGGAGCTGATCTCTCCCGCCTACAGCATCCCTCCAAGAACCGCAGTCAGCTGTGGATTTAGTAGCTGCGAATGACGCACAAATGGTCCTGGCGACCGGCACTGACTTCCTGGCCCGGTCGGTAAAACCCAGATATATCGTGGCACAGCTGACGCTTTCATACCACTACCGTGTTTACAGCAAAACCAAACCTAACAATAATGAAACGAATACTATCGTCTGGGTAGTCCCACGAAGAAAAACTTGGACATCGGACTTTGAGCGAAGTTGGTGTCGATTTGGTTGTTGTCGGCGGCGAACTGGGCCAGCCCGGGCCGCCAGCAGGGGATCTGGGCCGGGCTCAAACTCTGAGTCGGACTGGCCTGGAGCCGACACACCTGACGGTATAGCTGTGACGCAGCGGCCGTGTATGCGTGTGAGCCGACCGCAGGGCGCCTGGGTGGGGTCAGCAGAGTCTGAGCGGCATCGGAACTTGTGGTCAGACCTGACTCGAACTAGACCCGGCTGTGTTTACGAGTAGACCTGGCCCGGTCCCGATTTCCTTGCGTTTAGATAGGGTTAGCCTCTCTAGGGATAGTCACTATACCCTATCCCCGATCAGCCACATTGAGAATGGATTGATCGACGACAATTATTCACCTGACGTGTTCTTGGGTCTGCTGATTGGTGTCCCATAACAACCCAACAATAAGGTCACGATGCGATAAAGCTCTTTGTGTAGATGAAGAGACAAAGCGATTGTGTGGCCTTCCTTTGTGGATGACCGTGTGTTTTTCTCTGCCTGAAAGCAGCTTTCTACTGTGTTCGGGTAGCCAGCCCCCGCCCAGCCCTGTTTGTCGGCGATACGTACAGAACAGCGCAGCCAGGTGCCCGGTGCCGTCAATCAGCTTGTCGAGCATCTCATCGGTGACGTCCTCGATCATCTCGTTCTCGACCTGGTCCAGCAGCCAGGCCAGCACCTCCTCCTCCTTCATCAGGTCGCCTGTTGGTCATCCGGCGCTGGCAGTCACTACCACGGTCCTAGGTCACCTACGCAGGTCACCACGGTCATATCGGCAAAAAAACGAATGGTGCATTAGCACTTCATCACACGGTATCGCCAACACCAAACCTTCATATTCTAGAGAGCAAATTTATTTTGAAATGCCCAAAAAATACGTTAAGCATAGCAAAAAGACGTAAAGATGCAAGTCTTCAGAGCCCTGAGGTGGTCTCCATTGTTATTACTCCCACATATGCCTTCCATCACACACATAACCTGTCGTGGGTAAAAAAGACCGCGTTCTGCGAACGCACCATCGTAGACGCTGGGCACGCCGTCCTCGAAGTAGACCAGTGTCGGCGTCTCCTCGATGCCGTACTCCTTCGCCTCGTCGTCGTTGTCGATCTTGACGAAGACGATCCGGTTCTTGTCGCACTCGTCGTCAATGTTCTCCAGCTCGACCAGCACGCGCTGCGACTTCTTGTCGTTCTCATCGTCTGGAACGGGAACAGTATAGAGACATTGCAAGGGATGAAGGGAAATAATTTCTAGTACAAAATATCTGTTGTTCAACCAAATGCACTAAAAAAAAACTAACCATAAGCAGTCCTCGATTTCATTGCAATTACTTTCCGCATTGTGGTGGCATTCTTGCCGAAAACTGCGGCATTGCAAAGCATTTTCGATATACCTATGATTAAACGCAGCGCTAATACACTATGAGAGAGGTAAACTCGTTACTCACAGAAGAGGACGGCCACATGGCTCTCCTCCTTGATGAGCTTGTCGAGCATCTCGTCCGTCACGTCCTCGATCTCGTCCGACTCGAGCTGGTGGATCAGCCAGGCTAGTACCTCGTCCTCATCGGTGAGGTCACCTGGGAGGTCACGTGACAGGGGTCAGGTCACTAGAGAGGTCATAGTTCTGATGCTTTCCGTGAGATTTCATATTTTAGCCAGACCTTCTGACAGGTCAGAGTCGAGTCAGGTCATCTGATGTCACTGTGCTGTAGAGATGCGTACTACAAGACATATAAACAATTAAACAGCATGCCTACGTCGCTGGCACCTCACGGGGTCCATCAATCGAACCTTGGTCCCATATCCAAACTAAACAAAGGCCCCGCTCATAACCAGCCCTCCAGGCTATCGGCCGCACATGAATGTCAACCGTCGATTATTGGGACTGTTATAATCACCGCACATGAGGAGTCGAAGATGTCAACAATCGATTAAAATTGGGACTATTGTAATCATACCTACATTATACATACAACCCTCCCACCTGGGTTTAACGACATTGATAGTCTAATCAAATAATCACACATGAGAGACAACTAGGCAGGCGTGTTTGTTCGCTCTAGATAAACTAAGGAGATGCATATTTGTATACAAAGTAAACAATCATGTAACACAAATAGCTCGATGATTTCATTGGGCTAAACCTAACGCATTACTGCGCGAAAGAAAACTAAGCGAGCTGCTTCTTTGCGCGAGCTGCTTCTTTGCACGATTCAAAGCATTCATACCCAAGAGAAGCATAGTCTCACCATCGTAGATGTTTGGGATCTCCTTCTCGAAGTAGACGAGCGTGGGGAACTCCTCGATGCCGTAGGACCTGGCCGCGTCCTCGTCATCTGTCTTGACGAAGTGGATGCCGCGGTCGTCGCACTCGTCGTCGATGTTCTCCAGCTCGGCCAGCGCCGCCTCCGAGTCCTCGTCGTCCTCCTGGTCTATGGACGAGGACGGGGGAAGGGATTAGGGTCACCAATGGAAGTCCAAGAAGAGGGATTTCACATGCCTCCTGATTGATAAGTTAGGAGAGATTGCAGCAACATGATGAATCCGGTAACGAATGGGAGGGAAAACGGGCTTTAGTGAGCTTCATCGTGCTTAGTTTGCCACACGCAAGGCCGTATCCGACCCTTCACCTTCCGTGGCTCCTTCGCTAGCGGTTTTCCGGAGAGCCAATCACTTGAAAAGGACCACACAAATTATTTATGCAATGACGTCCTAACACGGATGTATCTGCCGACTGCCCAATTTGATTGCAACTAAATATGTAGACTAGTGACTAGTTAATTCGGTCAATATTTGGCCAACTGTAAAAACTGCTAAATGACCGCGCCTCAGCAGAGAGAAGTCGACCACCCGTCGTGCCGGGCACCCATTCGCCGTTTGCGGGGCAGCGGTCCGTGTTTACACACCTCCCCAGGAGCGTGACACCGCCGCGCTCGCTCCGAGAGCGTCCCGCTGCTCTCACTGTAAGCAGCCGGCGCCCGGGCGCACCTGGCCGAGAATATACCGGCGCCGGTCCCAGTGGAGACCGGGAGTATACAGAGAGCAGGCGATCCGTCGTCGGCCGCCGCCACTAGACGGCCGGCCAGACACACAGACGCGGCCGTCATCACAGCTCCGTCATCGTGCCGCCGTCATAAGCCCGTCAGCTGCACCGGTCGGGAGGGGTTAGTGAGAGGTGGTGGTGAGCTGAATCGTAACCGTCTGGGGTGATTGAAAGAGATGCGTCTTCTTCTGGAGTACGCATCGGATAACTTTTGGTGATATAACCAAGAATCTTTTAACAGGTATCTATACACATTAAGAATAATCGCTTTACACAAACAGTAATTTTTATGATTTTGCGACAATTTTTCATACAAAATCATTACGATACGTCAGCGAGGATAGACAGGAATTTCTCAATGTGTCGCCGAGGAAATCAGTGTTTTCAGCGGGCGTGTCGGTGCCAAACAGCCATCAGATGACCTCGTGAAAAGTTCGGCGTTGACCTTATCTCAGTGGGCACTTCACAGAAACAGCCACGGCCCCACAGTGAACCTCCATTATCTGTCAGAAATCGAGCTGTCGACTGGCAGGCAGACAACCCCACCGCCCGACAGTGGCGTCCCACCAACCACCAGCAGGTGACAGCTCCTGACGGTCCCACCGGCCGTCAGCTATGGAAGTTCGGAGCCCTACTAACCGTCAGGGTGACAGGCCGTTTCGACTCGGAGCGCCCAACTTAGAACGCCAACGCCTTGTGACGTCTCTCAACTTCGCGGTGGCATCGTTTGCGTGAGAACAATAGCCTGTCCTGTGCTGCTCCCTGGGAGTCTCGAGTCTCGAACTGACCTACCCCACGTGACGCGCGACAGCTCCTGGTGGCCCGAGGTGCGGCGCACCCCGCGACGGAAACTGGGCGCGGCCACCACACCCAGCGGCGATACGCCCCTCGGCGACCTCCGGCGATGGGAGAGGCCGGTCTCTCATCAGGTGCGGCCGTCTGGCGTGATCATCGCGCCACTGGAGCCACCGTGGCCGGGTGGGGTGACACCGCCGCGCCGGCACCACGCCGATAGCGGCTGACACGGCCGGAATGTGACTGCTGTCACGGCGCCGCCGGCTCCTCTCACCGGGCGCCGCGCCACCCCCGGAGACGAACCGGAAGTCGGTGGGTTCCGGCGCCACTCCGACGTGCCGTGCGCAACGGGGTGTGGGCCGCGGCACAGACAGGGTGGAGTAGCCCGAGCTTGCATGAATGGCTTCGGATCGGCGAAAATATGACTGACTTCAATGGCTAAAACCAAAACGCCGCGCATCAATGATCCTGCTTCAAAGCTCAGAAGCTCATGGAAGGGAACAGGAAAACAAACCAGGTCGACGGCTCAGCATAGCTGGCCTGGAGCTATAGGCTATTTTCCTCTTTTATAATTTACATTGCCTAAGAAATGTAATAATCCTAAAGAAAAAGATAAAACACGTCCCTCAAACTACGCAAAAGAGAAATAAAACAACCAGATCAAAACCACGCCCACCTTTTCCTCTTGCAGTTCCCCTCACAAACCGTCCCCTCCCCCACTGAACACTCACAGAAGAGGACGGCCAGGTAGTCGACCGAGTCGATCATGGCCTCCAGCATGGTCTCGCTGACGTCCTCGATCTCGTCGTCGTCGTCTCCGGTGGACTTGTTCTGCACCAGCCAGTCCAGCACGTCCTCCTCCTTCGTCAGGTCGCCTGAGGGCACAGCGGGGTGATGGAAGGTTAGAGACAACACCTCTCAGGAGCGGCTAAATCAGGCCAGCTTGAGGATCGAATGTCCCGTCAGTGTATATATATCTAGAATGTTTCAAGTCCATCTCGGTTCGGAGACAAAAACTAAGCTGCAAGTCCGGGTCTGCTCCACCCATTCCCTTCATCATTCACCATGGCTCTTCCACAGCCCTTCACTCAACACCCTGACTCGTCAATCCCCGCACTCCCCCTCCCCAGTCGCCAGCCGACACGTACCGTCGTAAACGATGGGAATCCGGTTCCGGTAGTAGACGAGCGTCGGCAGCGAGTCCAGAGAGTACTCGTCGGCCAGCGCCTCGTCGTTGATCTTGACGAACGCGATGCCCAGCTGGTCGGCCTCGTCGTCAATGTTCTCCAGCTCCTTCAGCGCGCGCTCGCACTTACGGCAGCTCGACTTGTCTGTAATATGGCCCCGGGAAGGGTTACGGGTGCTCTAAGAGGAGGGCTCGGACGGCCAGGTCGGGTACAGGGATGGAAAAGTCTCGCGTTGGTGGAGGTCTCGGAGAGGGGGGCGTCGAGTTTGCAGCAGCGGGGCTGAGTGGGGTGGGGGCATTGCAGCCGGGTCATCGAGATGAGGTGGCTATTTTAGGAACTGGGTTGGTAAGGTGAGACTGTCTGTAAAAATGGATGCAGCGGGTGAGAGGGAGCGTTTTGAGCAAACGGCTATATTGAAGCGTCATCGGTAGCATTCTCGACAATAATGAATGAGCTCAGTGGACACTGGACAGCGATTGCTTTATGGATCGCGGCATCGTTGGATGGGAGTGAAGCTCTGGTGACCTGTACCCATCGAAATACCAGTGGCCCTATACCAGACAGTCTGAAGCTGTAGCTGACTCTGCCGTGTCAAAACCATAATTTGACACACTCCAGGGTTACGCGTGGGGGCAGCGGGAGTGGCGGCATGCCGACCCCGTAACATGATACTGAGGCGGCCGGCCAGCCTACACTGGCCGGTCCGGAGCCGGCCGCGGGCGGGGCGCAGCCAGGAACGCGGCAGCGCTGACGGCAGCACCGGTGTATTTACAGCAGTGCAGCGCTGGCACCGCAGGCCGCCCTCCTCTGTACTCAGCCTTGTCCGGCCGAAATACTTCGTGCCCTGGGGACAATTTACAGGCCTGGCCACGCCTCGGCAGACGGCAGCAGCGCCGGACTGTCCTCTGTCGCGCGGAGTTAGCGCTCCAGCTCTGAGCCAAGACAGGTAGAGTCTTGGAGGGGATGAGGTACAGACTTGACCCTGCAGTACCGGCAGACCGCGACAGCCTGCAGAGGTCATGGTGCTCCACGGCACGCCGTCAAGTTTCCCACTCGCTCCTCCCCACCAGTATACGTGGCGACCGCTGCGGAGGTCGCCGTCGGACGGTCGGCAGGACCGATTTGGCCGGCGGCCGCCGTCGCCACGCGGGCCAGACAACCGGACGGACATAGCCGGCGCGCTTACAGCCGTCACTGTCGGGCGGGCGCGCCGCACGCAGCGCTGACGGCTGCCGGGCGCGCCTGCAGGCGGCGGCGCATAGTTCAGCAGCAGACACGGCGGCCGAGAGACTATCAGAGGTGGAGTGGAGGGACGAGCAGCGTGCTATCACCGGCTCGCCACCAATCACCAAACTCTGAGCTCGCACGTCAGGTACATATGTACGTAGGCGGTTCCCCGGCCAGACGGTCTACAACCATGCATGGTGCTGAATAAACCGTCCTAACCGGGGAGAAAATAGACGTGCCGTGTGTGAAATCAGCGCTGCTGACACATTTCAGTTTCAATACAAGCAGGAGCTGCATTTGTCTATGACGAAATCGAATTCCGGCGAGCGTTGCGTGGAACGGTCTGCCAATAGGTCTAACCTATTGTTGTTCAAAGCGTTATTCTCGGTTCTGGCAGCCGGCGTGAGACACAAATGCCAAGGTCGGCTGCCAAAGGACACTGCCAAGGGGTACACTCAGATGTCTCCATTTCTGAACTTGCGAAACTCAACTGTTTGAACGAGGTTTTCAGAGCATCTGAAACTATAACGATTTTCGTTCGATAATTGGTTTGCTGGCCATCATTTGATGGTCTGGAGCAGAAACTTGAACCAGGTTGCCCACATAGATCAGAAGTGGAGTGCAAACCCAGTGGGGCGCTCAGCACTCCGGCGACCCGTGGCTCGAGCGCGACTTCTATGTTTCGTCACCCGTTAGGTATTTGTTTTTGTGTCAAGTTACCGGCACGTCAAACTCGGTGAGCGGACCATGATTTCAGGACCCCACTGTATAGACGCATTATCAGTTTAGCCTTTTTCACACTACGCTATGCAAAATTTCCGTTGAAACAATAGGTAAGAATCTGTTCAGCTAAAAACCAATCATACCTACATTCAGGTCACCCAAAAATGCATCTTTAAACGATTCAGTCTCCATGTAAAACGGCGTCCACCGGGTCGCCGTCCACCGGGTCGCCGTCCGCGCCGCTCGCTGGGAGGACCGTTAGTAGCAGCGGGCATTCCAGCGGCTCCGCGGCGGGCGCGGCGACGGCCCGCCGCGTCTCAAGAATAGCCGTCGGCATGTGGCCGTCCGTCTCCGGGCGGGGGCGGGGGCGGCGGCGGCGGCGGCGGGGGCGGGGGCGGTCCCCGACCGGCCGCTGCCGGCCTGTCAGGTGGTGCCGGTCGCCGAGCCGAGCCGACACCGGCGGCTGCACCGTCGGCGATGACGGCGGCTCCAGCCAGCCTCGATCCCCGCCGTGACCCGAGTGTGCCAGGTGCCAAATCGCCAGCGACTAGACGGTTTGGATTTGGTGAAATGGAAACCTACAGTTGCCGAAAGCTCAAGCCGTGGTTGCGTAAGCTTACGTAGCACGACGACAGGAAGTCCAAATGCACGTCGCGCACATCTGCAAGGGTTTATTCATAACCTGAATTTAGGACTAACAAATGGCCCACCAGCCATCAAAATACATTCCAGTCATGTCTAACATTTACCTGAAGCCCATGTTTATTTATCACCAGGGTGACGAAGAGGGCAGCGTTATATGTCACGGTACTATCTGTAATAACAGAGGGCAGAGCCATCGGCAAAATTTGAGCCGCCCGGCGGATTCCGAGGGAGCGATTTTCGGTGATAAATTCTCGCCAGTGTCGGCTGTGTCCGGTGGCCGGCTGATGGTTCTCGGCCGGCCGGTCGGCAGTCGGCCGCTGCCAGACTGGCCAGTCAGTGCCGGCAGACGCTAAAATTAGCACCCGATACAGACAGTTCGAAGCCAGTCACGCCTAAAAGCACGGCCGAGCGCGACCGGCGAGCTGGCAGTGTCATCGGCCGCCGTGGCTTCTGTCGGCGGCACTACAGGCCGGTGACCTTCCCCATACACACCGCGACTCCGCAGCGGCTCGAACGGCACCGAATGAACAAAGGAGTTTTCGAACTGAACAAGAAAGCATGGATGAAGAGAAATGAGCTAACATCACCGTGAAACAACTGTTGAAGGTTCGATCCTCAATGCAGACAGGTCATGGGACTCTGTAAATGGAATGTCACGCAGGGAGTTGCAGTTGTGTGGTGAGGGATTTGTCGGGTTCATTCACATGACTGTTCACATCACTGGTAAGCATACACTGAGCAGTGAGCATGCTGCTGACAAGCAACAGGTACGCCAACCGTGCTGAAACACCGAGACGATGACACTGTAGGTACTTACTAAATCAAATGCGCTGTTTGTGTCCGTTCTTTGTTAGTGCTAGCTCCATGCTATATACCTGTAAATGTGCACCCACACTCTTCAAGCAGGGCCCGGGTGGGCAATGAGTGGTCGTGCGAAGTATGTAATGGAAGTTGTAGAGCAGTCGCGAGGCTACTACGCTACAGGGGAGCATTGAAGGGCAGTACTGGGGCTACTGTGGTGTGGAGATGGGTCATCCATGTGTCTGAAAACTAGCAGATATAGACACGGGCCTCTAGATCAGTTGCTGCCATTGGCTGCTCGAGAAACATGGTCCGTGGGATGAAGGTAAGAAGCTGTTAAAAGCCTTTGGAGGGTCCGAAATTAAACACCGAACGCCCTAAAAGAGTTCCACACATAGGTAGAAACACCGCCTAGAAATAAAAGAACCGAAAAGAAGAGCGTTAAGTGAGCACGTTGGTCGGCGCACGGTTACTTACACTCGGACAGTCGGCAGCTCTCTACCGACGGACCTGTGGCCACAAAACGGGGGGCCGCACTCAGCCGCCGCCGCGCGACGCGGGCTTCGCCGGAATACCTAAATCGGTCTCAATACGAAAACGTCCTCCTAAATGGCCTGAATTACAGATATGTAAACGGAAGTTTCACTCTCCTTTTGCAGAGAGGGGATTCAAGGCGATCTGGATTGTTCTTGGTTTACGGAACAGATTCGTGCTTGATGACCATTTCACAGGGGTAAACACCACGTATTTGCAAAGCAAGACAAACAGCACATGTTGGACAATCACAATGAACTCACATACAAATATACATCCGAAGTCGAGATAAAGGGTGCATTGAACTCTCAAAACGCGAACCAAGAGCAACACTTTCAGCCGAATAAAACCAAGCTACAATATTTACAAACCCAATAACCAAAAACGGCGACAAAACACAAAATAAATCACTAAATGGAAATCATATGTCATCCAACTCACTCGCATTAAACCCAAACTGTGTCGAACTGGACGGACTTACAGAAAAAGACGGCCACGTAGGGCTGTTCCTCGACAATTTTATCCAGGATTTTGGCGTTGACCTCCTCGATCTGGTCTGGGAGCTCCATGGCGTCCAGACTGGTGAGAAACTCCAGCACTTCATCCTCGTTCATCAGGTCACCTGTGCACGACAGAGCAGGGAGTGTGGTTCCAAATACAGACAAACACCGACTAAGCACCATTAGACGGCATAAGGCTAATATTGGGGGACGGTCGAGTGAATGGGTGTCGGACATCTGGGTGTCGGGAGCAGTGAACAGCCAGAAGGTGCCGATGTTAGAGTGAGTTTGCGAAATCCGTGGATCCGTGGATTTCCTAGGGAATCCGCGGACCAGCACCTGGGTGCTGACACCTGCTGACTGTCAGGATGCTGACTGTCAGCACACTGACGATTGGTAAGGTGCATGGAGAGCTGGGTGCAAGACAACGGCCATCCTGAGTGCTGAACGCTGAACTGACAGACAGCCGGATAGATGCACTGCTGACTGCCATTAGGTGGATAGAAAGCTCGTTGGGTGTCCCGACGACAAGGTGCTGAACAGCAGTGGAGCGTTTTGTGACGCTCGAATACCGTCCACGACAGCAGCGTTTCGCACGTCGCGGATAGCTGGGTCAGACTAAAGAGGGGATGTGACGTGCCAACAAAGTTTTATCATGAAGACATTGAGAAATGATAAAGACCACGCTTAAAAAGAATCAATCTAGTTAAGCTAGCCTGGCCTGTGAAACAAACGCTTAGGGACTTCATAACGCTTCTTATTTTGGTTGTCAAAAAATAGCCTCTGTAAGGGTTCATAATTATTGCTCCGTTTTTGTAAATAAGCGATATAAACACATGCATTTCGACGTGATTTTCCTACTGCCGACTGTCGCAGCTACTGCCGCCAAACAGCCCTAAAGTAAGGCCAGTCCATCCATGCCACCATAAGGGCTTAGAGCACTCGTGATCGAAACTGCAGCCGTTTTCTGACCGCAACTGATGATCAGTCACTGCGCTACAGGCAGCCATTGTACTGGGTGTACATACTAACACCCTCTCACTGCAGTACCTTGATGATCGAGTGAAATGGCTTCAACGCATGCCAGCGCGCTTCCGTCGAATTAAGCATGTTTGCTGGGCTTGGCACTCTCTCTGTAAGCTGAAGGCACTGGCAATGGTTTGATGGCGTCGACAGGCGGGAAGAGACGCCCATCGCCCAGCGGCAGGTCGACAGGTGCCCTCGTTTATTTACGCTCTCTGGAGGGTCTTTGCTGACGTCACAAGACTGACAGCGTTAAATCAAACCGTCGAGAAGCATTATTTTTTAAGTTAGTAACTGAAACCCCCACGGGCCGAAACCACCGAATTTGGAGTTACGCTGGTTGAGGTAGTGAGCCAAACCAAGACCAGCAAGTAGCAATGGCCAGCAATTTTCTCAAAAGAAGCAGTGTATTAGCAAAGTGAGAAGTACTGGTCATGTTGAGCGTGAGGCACACGTTTTCCCGATGACAAATACATAGGTACATTATCTTGGAATAGCTAAGAAGCGATCGGTACAAACACATAAACAGTGACGCGAGAAACATCGCGTGGCAAGAAAGATTGGTAATCAATTGCGTTATCACGTAAATCGATAAGACTGACTTGATTATCAATTGATTAGCAAATGCTGAAAGAAAACTGCCTGGTTACTGACCGCACGACTGTACTTATTCTAGCCGCACCTCTGAGTCAGTTGATCGACACACGTACGTACCCTCGTATTTGATGGGCTCCTTGTTCCTGAAGTAGGTGAGCGCCGGGAACTCAGAGATGCCGTACTTCTTGGCCAGCTTCTTGTCGTTGATTTTGACAAACTGCACTCCGAACTTGTCCGTGTCATCGTCGATCGTTTCGAGTTCGGTCAGCACAGCGTCGCAGTCGATCTTACAGCGACGGCCGTCTGCCGGGCAAAAAAAGTGGGAGTCGGGGTTAATCGAGGATAGAAACAATGAGAGCACTCAACAAGTCATTTTCCAGCGGAATATGGCTTCAGCAGTCACCTCAGGTCACACGAACAGAAAAGAACAGAACAACATGCCTACGAGTTTTTTTTTCTACGGCCATTCTCCTATCGCGCACAGAAAAAATTGAATCGGCGTCCGGCGATATAAAGATGGATTGTATTACTTCAAGAATAATTAAAAATAGGATGCTCGTATAAATGTTGATCGTAGAACATGTACTGGTATGCAGAAGAAATCAGTGGTAACAGAAAATATAAATGTCAAATTATCAGGTGGCACTGGGTGGCAAATCCAGTCGCCTAATAGAGTGACCATACATTACCATTGGAACGATTGCGGTATACCTAATAAAAAACTTAGGCAATATGTTCTGATTTCAATTTTAGTCGGTTACCAACAGCACACCGTGTCCGTCACCGGAGACCATATCATTTATCTCCCAGACGACATATGACCGTTCTCATCCGCCGAGCCGTAGGCCGATCCGGTACAAACCAGATATTTCTCAGCCTACATGCATGCGTATGTGTGTGTGCTTTCGGCGGGGTGGGAGCTCCGGTAGCCCAGTGACTCGTCCCCAATGCCTTTCCCCTCCCCCCGCAGCGCCGGAAGTCACGTTGTGTGTTCACAGGGCGGCGCGGCACCTGCGACACGACCCTGCAGGACTCCTCGTCAGCTGCGACTGGCGCGCGACCCTGACCACCATCCACACTTCCTGGTGACGAGATGGCCGGCTCCCACTCCCCGGTGAGAGAAGTCTCCGGGCGGCATGGGGGTTCTCACGACCCACAGGCCCCTCTCGTGCCACCGACGGAAGCTTATCGGAGGCCGCGTCGCAGGTGACTCCGACTCAGAAACGCCAGTCTCTGACTACTCAGAGTCATATCTGCTCTGTCGCTAGCACGTGGAGGGAAACCTCAAATCAGCCCCCGACAGCCAGATCACACGCTGATAGTCATACAGCTGCGGTTTAGCCGGATACGCCACGATGAGTCAATATTGAATAAATAATAAACGTGATTAAATCAAGCCTCATAAAAGTTTATTCATACCACCAAACTGGCGATTGACATAGGTCCAGCCAAACCGGCAGAAACAGATCTCAAATGCCTGCTCGCTGGTATAAACAAGCAGTTGAAGACACCAAGAAGTGAGCATCATCGGGGCTTCCAGCTTGCGCTCTCGGCTCAACGATAGCTCAGCTCTCGACTCCGGCTTTTGGCTCTTGTCTCTCAGAGCTCGTCTCTAGGCTCGGTCCTCAGCTCTCGGATGGGTTCTTGACTCGTCTCTCCGATTCCCTCTCTGCAGTTCTCAGCTCGGCTCTCAGGGCATCGCTAAGCTCTCGGTTCTCAGTCGGCTCTCGTCTCTCGGAGCTCGACTCTCGTCTTTTGGATCTCGGCTCGCAGAGCTAGTCTTTCGTCTCTTGGCTCTCGACTCGGCTCTCAGCTCTCGGCTATCGGCTCTCGACTCGGCTCTAGGCTCACCTCTCCTCTATCGGCTCGCGGCTCTCGTCTCTCGATTCGTCTCTCGCCTCTCATCTCTCGTCTCCACCCGCACCTGCCCCTCCCGTCCAGACAGGGTGTCGACGCGCCGCGGCAGAGGCGGTGGCTGGGACGGACGGACTGCCTGGTATAAATAGAGCGGGCCGCCGACTCTCGTCACTGGCACATCGCTCAGCTCTGGTCCCGCGCCGGAGCGACTGGCCGCAGATTGCTCAGATAGAGTACGCACTCACCAGCTGGGCGCACGCACAAACACAAACACGCAATAAGTCTGTGGCACCGTCGATGTCTTGACGCCGCACGGTTTTGATGAAAAATAGGCATGTCTTTTTACTTCCGCCATGCAACAGGTTAGCCCACTGCATTGTAGAGATATTTTAAAAGGAAACAATTATCATAAAGCTGCTTACACTTCCCGGTTTCTTCCTGAAAAACAGCAATTTTGCATGTGGCAGTTAAGACTGTCTGCACGCTGTTGGATGAAAGCGCGCGCGCCCAAGATCTGAGTCACAGGAGTTGACTCTGATGTCCCACATCTGACTCATGGCGGAGGTGAGACGGGGCAGCTAACGGAGAGCGAGACTGCGCGGCGAGGCGATGGAGGCGTCTCCACGGGAGGGTCGGCGCACTCCAGGTGCGTCGATCGGCAGTGTTTGTCTGACGGCCGCCGCCGACTGCTTATTTACCGACCGGCTGTGGGGCCCCGGCCTGCCAGACCCATGAGCAGCGGCTGGGTTCGGGGTGGGGAATGGGGCTTCACAATAGGTACCCATGATTTCCAACAAGTACTAGGAAAATGATTACGAAATATGATTCGTTTAACGACACATGAGTTATAAGCATGGCATGGCATGGCAAGAGCCCAACCGACTGAATTCCATTTTTGGAATTTCGTCCTTTGACACCTCCTAGTCATACAGCACTGCTCGGACGACATGCAGGCATCATGCATGTGCCAAGAAAGAGACACCGAAAGCTGACGTCCGTCAGATGATGTTGTTTATGCAAACAACTTTGACAAAATGTCAACGCCTGTTATAAATGTCACGATGAAAAATGTGTTTTTCATGGAAAAATGTGTTTTTCATTGAACCTCTCCCTCATATCACATGATAAATATACGAGAGCCGTCATCCACAGTTGACAAGTGAGAGTCTGGACGGCAGAACGTCCGTAGACCAGCAGCTCGCCCGCTCGTGCATTAAGCGAATACATCATGGCTCGGATAGCAGACTCTGCAGCCGAGAAACGACAAAAGGGCAAGCGACCAGTCTGGTCTGGTCTGCATGGTGTGGTCTCGCTGTGTCTAGCAACGCCACGGCACCTCAGTCGCACTCACGGCAGTAGCCGCGGCCTGCTGCCACGGGGACACCTGCCGTCTGACAGTCGCAGCACTGCGCGGTGACGTGACACACCAGAGAGACGGCTCAATGGGTTGGATGGACTTGGTTACCGGCCAAAATATTAAGGAAAGTAATATGAAAATTTGATGAATCATGAGAGAGCGGATATAATAGCCAATTGTTTTAATAAGAAATACAGTATAACTCACTACTTCCAAAGTTAAGTGAATAAAAGAGTGAAACGTTGAACTGAACGCCCGCATAAAAAAACCGATAGAAGCGGCAGCACAGAAGATCAATATGCTTCGATTCTTGATATTCTTCCTGTCACAACGTATTGCGTCTTACAAGCTTGCGCTTCCCGAACAAATTATTTTAAAAAAAAAACTATCGATGACGTGCGACTGAACGCAAACGACTAAGTCCCGCCAGGGTCATCAAGCCGTCCCGCGATGTCTCATCCAGTCGACTCCCTGCCAAAGTCGCCGTACGTCATCCTGACCCAGGTGACAGCGCCTTGGCAGTCCAGAGAGCCGGCCGAGCGGCACTGGACAGCCGTAACCCAACTGGCCAGTCCCCGGCAGTCGAGCGGCCCAATGACCCGGTTTGTCACCGTCTGACCTAGGTCCGGGGGTCGTCAGCGACCCAGAGAGGCGAGGCACAGGCGTCCTCCTAGGGAGACGTGACACGGGCATTCTAGAAAGATGCGTGGCACCGGCGTGCTCCAAGGACAAGTGGCACCGGCGTGCTCCAAGGACAAGTGGCACCGGCGTGCTCCAAGGATACGTGGCACCGGCGTCTTCCAGGACGACGTGGCACAGGTTCGCCCAAAGGTACGTGGCACTGGCGTGCTCCTTGGATACGTGGCACCGGCGTACTCCAAGGATACCTACGTGGCACCGGCGTCTTCCGCGACGACGTGGCACCAGGCACGTCCAAAGATACATGGCACCGACGTCCTCCACAGAGACGTGGCACCAGAGTCGTCGAGGACATTTCCACCGACGTGACGCAAGGATACGTGGCACAGGCGTCCTCCAAAAGATACGTGGCATTGGCGACCTCCAAAAATACGTGGCACCACAGCAGTGGCAGCGTCGGAGCGGCAGCTTGGCCGACCACCGACCAGCCGCTCATGTCTGCCACGGTCTAGACACGGCTCATCGCGCCGGGTGTCGAAACAAAGCGTTACCGCTTATACAGGAGATCCAGCTTTGAAACCCGCTTCAGAAATAGCTACACATGCCCTAAGCGCTGACCGTCGTGAGAGGGTGGTTTAGTCGACAGGAGGTAGACAAACTGGCAGTCGGAAAGGATTCGATGAAAATCGGCCTGGCACGGGAAAAGGTGATGATGCCCAAAGGATGCAACGACGCTCTACCGTGATGCGGAGCTTGTAATTGTCGGAGGTTGCATATGCACTGGGCCCAATCCGGGGCGGTGCAGTGAGTAACACTGACAGTCGGGTGGGGGCAAGGACCGGTCTGACGCGGGCAGGGGAGGGGTAGCTGCCGGCGGGGCGGGCAGGGACCGGTCCGGTTATACCCGCCCGGCTGGCAGCCGACGTGATGACGTCACCGTGTCGACACCGACGGGCAACGCGCCGGCCGGCCGCCTCTGCCAGCCACCGGCCGCTGCATGGCACGCTCGCGCCGATGGACGAAAGGGGGCGTCACTGCCAGGGCCGCGGCAGGCACCATTTAGCCCATGTAGGACATAGCTGACGATGACCTCGCCAGCATCGAAAAACGGAGAGTATAAGCTGCGTGACGTGAATAAATTACTTTTGAAAGCAATGTCAACATATATATTTTAACTTCAAAATACTTTCAGGCCAACAATAACGAGCTCTGCTATCAAACTGAAGCCCATATTCATCACGAAGAAGCACACCACATTAACAGAAAAACTATGAGGATAATGATAATCGCTGGCACGAGTCGAGTCTCCCCGGGAGGCTCGATCACCAACCACGGTCTTTACATTGAACGACCCTCTCTAGTCTCTAGTCTCGAGTATCTGCCTCACCAGTTAGTGTTTGGTTGAAATGGTAAAAAAGACGACCACAGCGTATCATGATCACACCAGAATGATGACGAAAATGACGACGACGACGAGGTTGTTGAACATGTCGCAGCATAGATAGCTATGGAAAACATAAGGAGCCCTGCCTGGCCCTTGGGATAGTTTGCGGAAATAAGCAGACAATAACTAGCAAATCGTTCAAAGCACCAACGTAAAATACAGGTCCAAAACGGACCTGGCGAGACCGAATAACCACGGACGAGATAGGCCATCTAGCAGCGTCACCAAGGGCGCACAGTGGACCTTTATCCACCCAGACTTAACAAGGGCGTCGATCATCAGGCGAGCCCCGGGCGATGGGTCATTATTCGACTGAACACACAAACAGTGTCCAAGCTATGGTCCCAGCCGACCTTTGGCCCGATCAGCGCACACAGCCCGCCAGACGAGCTGAGGAGGAAAAGAGGCAAGCCTGAACAGCACAGAGGGGCAACTGGCAACTTGAGATGAGCTGGCCAAATCACCGCGAATAGAAGCGTGGTGGCCTGTGTTGGGGTAGATGGCGCCGGTAGGAAAAGCGGAAGAAGGCCGTGAAGCAACGGAGTGGTGGAGAGGCGAAGCCGATTTAGAAAGGCGGAGGGCCGGTCCTTCAAAAGGCGGAGGACCGGTTCTTAAAAAGACGGAGAACCGGCCAGTGAAGGCCGAAGGGCAGGGGTGCCGACTACCTCGTGAAGATCCGGTGGCTAGTGGATGGATGGAGATGGGGGCGGCGGTGCGTGGAGAGGTAGAAGGGAAGGCCGACGGCCGGTGCCATCGGCTCGGAGCGGTTTGTTGCGTTTGGCCGCCGACCGAGCGGCTGCCTCTGACGCACAGCCGTGCCAAAGCGGTGGGCGCGGGTCCGCCCGCACAGCGCCAGAGCGCCAATCGGCTGTGCGATACACCAGAACCACTACAATAGGGAGACGAGAATCGCACAAGCTGGAAAAACTACTTGATGGGTGAGTCCTGGAGCCACCGCCGACCGAAACGCCGACCAGGACCTACTGCCGACCCAAGGACCAGAACCATCACAGAGGAAACCGCAAACGCAACTAGCATCGACTGGGCATGGATCTGTGAGCCATGGTGGTCCAAACATGAAGCAAAACATAACTTTTTGCCTCTCGACTCTAATTGATATTCTTACAGAATCAAAGAGAACTTCTGCTCCATGAGCCGTCGTCACCATGGCACAAGGCATCAGATTCATCACAGTTTAAATAACATCTCTTTAGAAGACCTAACTCAGCGCTCAACCGCGCTTTTCGCGAGCTCTGCGATTGTTTCTGTTGGCAGCGGCGACGCGGCGGTGGTTGTCGGGGCGGGCTGGCGGCCCGTTGCCTGGTTAGCTGGGTGCGTCCGGACGGCCGGCGCGCTGTGAGGTGTCGTGTGACGGCGCTCCGCCGCACACAGGGCAGCAACTGACCTCAGCACTCAGCAGCGGTCGGTCGAGCGGCGGTCTGCGCGGTCCTAACAGGGGCGCTGTAACCGGACTAGCCGCCGAGACAGGCGAGCAGCTGTTCTACCGACCGGCGAGGAACGGGTCTGAGGCCGCAGCAGGCAGCGCCGACCAGAAGACCGTTCGCAAAAGTCGCTATCCATTGCGAAGACCAGTTTTCATGCCTTGTAGCAGAGCTATTGGAATGATCAGCAGATGCAACGTGTTAGCAAGATGCTCCTTAGCAAGCTGCTTTTGTAACCCCAAGATAAGCAAATATGGGCAATGTAGCCGATTCTATTTGGCAGCCTGCTCAATTACATGAAAAGCAAGCAAATGTGAAATGTAATTCCCATTACTCTCTCGTTGAAGGAAAGTGTCCGTACATCTGAATAGAATGCGGTGCGGTCGGCTGTTCTGGCGGCCGCTAACCACTCCGTATGGCCGCCGGCCAGAGCCGGGTCGGCAGCTGGCAGCTCAATGTCACCGGCCAGCTGGCAGAGCATCGCTTCAGCCGACCGACGACCTCCGCTGGCCGACCGCAGGGCACCGCATCAGCCGCCGCCCACCGACCACCCTACACCGCATCAGCCGCCGCCCACCGACCGCAGAGCACCGCATCAGCCGCCGCCCACCGACCGCCCTACACCGCATCGGCCGCCGCCCACCGACCGCAGAGCACCGCATCAGCCGCCGCCCACCGACCGCAGCACATCAGCCGCCGCCCACCATCCCACTTCGCATCAGCTGCATCAACTGCCTCTGTTGGCCGCTGACCACCCCACATTGTATCAGTCGACCGCTCACCCCACCCACACCACATCAGCTGCCGCCCACCGACCGCAGCGCATCAGCCGACCTCCCTGGGCCGGCCGCCCCATATTAACCGCCTCTGTTCACATCACTTCAGCCAGTGGCTACCAGCCGTCCTGCGTCGTCCACTTCACGCCGCGACAGTCATCGCCTATCACTCTATAACTATACCTACATACATTAAATCAAATCTACAGCCACTCATCCTACATCACTTGATCATCCACATCAGCCGCCGCCATCACTCTACCCACACTGCATCAGCCGCCGACCACAGCCCACCTTTCCTCGCATTAGCCGACCTGGCCCCATCACTCGGGGGAGGCCACTGCCCTCCCCGCCCCGGTCACATCGGCAGCCGCCCCACCTTCCCGGCGCTGAACCTGGCACCGCCCATGTCACTCCTCATTCATCTTCAGTGCAGGCCGCTCTGCCAACGTTGGCCTGTCGCCTATCAGGCCGGCGCCTAACCCTTGATGTCGCCTGTCGCCTTGGAAGCCTTTTCACGCTCTGACGCTCCCGTGTCGCCTTTCATCCAAAGAGCTACCTACCCAACCGTCCTACTAATCGGAAACCCAGCTCCGCTATTTCTTATCCTACTAGCACAAAGGCACTAACCAGAGGCTCGCGGCCCACTCATGGGTGCAGTCACATTCGGCTTATAAACCTGTTACTGAATCAACCATAGGTGTTGCATCTAATGTCCACCGTTGTGCTAAGCGTTGGGCATGTGTGGCATTGATGGAGAGCATTAATGGTCTCGCGCCTCGAAACAGTTGATTCTGCGCCGATCTTTTACCACCGTTCTCAATGCCGTTCATACACTTTCTTTAGTCCTCTGCTGTCTACTGGACCTATTGGGAACTCATCTGGCCGTCCTACTGCTTCGTGCAGCTCACCGACTATGACTATCGTCTCCTTTCAATTACACTAGTTCATCCCGAGGGCTTGAATAAACGTCCATCCGTGCTACACTCATAATGTATAAGTACGCACACAGCTCTATAAATTCTTCGGGAAACATTTTTCACGACCATCTCACTATCGCCCTCATCTGTGGTTCGATTTCAGAAATTCATACCATCTTTAAAAAAAAGATTATGTCAACCGTATCTCCGCCGAATCGCAACGTTCCAGCGCAGTCCAGAAACGTGCGAGAACAGAGAGCTGTGGAGGGAGACAGTCTTGTTTGGCGCAAAGTCGTCTCTCATTACTGACTTATTCTCTATACTACGTAACTACCCACGCTAGAGGGGATATTGTGTCGGGCTGTCATAATATCTAATATTTTGAACAACCGCACAGAGGGAAAGCTAGGGCGTCTGTTATCACCTGAACCCCCGGCGCAATTAGTAAAATGGTGAGGGCTTGGAGTTTGCAATATTTCAGCGCTTCAGCGATGAAAATTATAGAAATGAGACGTGATGACAACCAGCCATTGACACACATTCTGTGTCGATATTCTTTAGAAGATTCAGCTACATGCATATGCACAGCACACGTACACAGCACGCACTTAGCACAATTTCATACGAGCTAACATACATAATATGCATGCACACCACTCATGCCTCGATTCGTCAACCCATTGTGCCATCAGCATTCAGCATGCCATTTATTCAAGATAAAGGCACTTGCCAAAAATATCCAGTCCCGTAAAAGTCTTGGCATTTAGTTTCACCAAACCCCCTCCTAACTCCCACCCCATACACTCCGCCGCAGCTTTATCCTCCTTATCGCCCCCAGCACCCGATCCCCCGCCAGCGGGGCTACTCACACCAGAAGACGGCCACGTAGTCGTGCTGCTCCACCAGCTGCTCCAGCTGCTTGGCGCCCACCTCCTCGATCACCGCCTCCTCCTTCTTCTTGGCGTCGGCCGGCGCGCCGACGGCCAGCAGCAGCAGCAGCAGCGGGACCCACATCGCGACGGACGCGACACCGAGCGACACCGCGCAGCGAGCGTCACTGACACCCGAGACCGGCCGGCCGGCCGCGTCGGCGCCGGCGCGGCGCGCTGCCAGCCGCCCGGCCGCCGATCGTCGGCGCCGACGGCCGGCCGCCTCACATGGCCCGGGGCTGGAGCGGCCCGCCGGCCGACGATCCGCCGCGCGGCGCGTCACACAGGCGGAGACTCACAGAAGGAGCGGTGCACGGCAGAAAACCAGCACAGGACATGTCATGGGTTGCATCCAGCGACTCAGGAACTAGCCGTAATTTGACCGGAGATACATGAGCTGAGTAAATGCGTTTGACAAAGGGATTACAGCGCTGAGCAAACAGGAAAATATGTTCCACGCATTTTCTTGCTCGCATTCGGGGCCTTTAAAACCATGCCCTCAGCTTTGCGTCAATAAGGGCACGGGTTAGGACATGGAAGGGTGTTGGTAAGCACGAGCAGCACACAACTTCGTTCTGCTCAGCATATCAAAGCTCAGGCTACACTGTCAGCGTTTTTTCGGTCTCTGCGTGATTTCGGTTTCCGCGTTTTTACGGTTTCTGCGTTTTTTCGTTCCGGGCGGCCGCCGAGTGGACGCTGTTGTTTATAGCATAGTGATGGATAAGTGATCGAATTAATTAATTATTCATGTTAAATATTATTGTATTTTAACAAAATTATAATTGAATAATTGTTTTAAAGATTTTACAACTAACCAAAATACATTTTCGATCATAATCATTTGTCAGCTTAGATACAATTTTCTGTATTATCATATTTGAAGTAGAATGAAGAGCTTTGAAACATATCTTGTCTTCTTTAATCATGAATTACACCATTTTCATCATTTACTTTTGAAACTGTTCCATCGTCACAATATTATCAGCAACAATAACTTCTAATCATTCATCACTAAAACGAAATCCCGCAGAAACCGAGAAAAAGTTCACAGCTCTGAACTTTTTTTCGGTTCCGACTCGTCGGTTTTTGCGGGTTTTCGTTCCACGGGACGCCAGACTGGCAGTGTAGCTTGCGCAATGCATTCGTTATGAGGCGAACTTGACGACGCGAACCGAAATCCTGCAGAAACCGAAAAAACGTCGGAATTCATGCTAGTGTAGCTTAGGCTTCGCTCGAACCAACCTAACCGAGCCGACTAGGATCTATTATAACCATGCCTCCATAAAATTACGAGCCATATCTTGTCATTTACATCAAACTATGATATGAACGATGAGTAATTTTCCAACTATGACATAATTATATGAAAATTGACAATTGTATGCGGTAGGGACAATGATAAAAAATATTTCCCGATGTGACGTCACTGCAGCCCGAGGGTGAAGAACGAAACATGCTTCGGGAGACAATTGAAAAAAGATAAAAACACCGGCGGATTACTATTGCCCAATGTCATAAACAATAACATGTAACCCCTCAGAAGGAAATTAAAGATGAAAATAGCGGTCAACAGTAAAAATTATCACATACTCTGTTTACATACGAGACATGTAATAATATACAATTGCGTAATCAAATGTATCGACCTATTTAGATAAGGTAGGCTTCAATAAAACAATGGCTTAAAAGCAAACTTATTTATTCGGCCAGTATTGGAACTATCGAACAAGGAATACCAAAAATTACAAACAAAACATATGGCAAAAGCAATTGTGGCTCGTGTACAAAGTTTCCTATTTTCTCAGTATTTTATTGAAAAAAGCTACTTTAGCACCCGTCGCCATCCTGGGCCGGGGAGGGTGCGGGGGTGAGGGGTGGACTGTCGGGCCCACCGGCGCCCTGGGTGTGTCTCAGAGGTGCTCCGATAAGGCCGTGCCATGGGATCCCTCCACCTGGCCGGCCGCGCTGGCCGCCTATATAGCCGGCGGCGGGGCACAGCTCTGCCGAACGGTCCCACAGCGCTCCCAAGATGCGGCTGATCGCGGTTGCCTTTCTGGCGGTCCTGGTGTCGTCGGCCACCCTGCGGCTGCCCCGTAAGTAGCGCGGCCCCCGAGCGCGCCGCGTCTACACACAGTGTGTCGTGTCGGAGTGGCGGTCCGACGCGAGTGGCCCGTGATCGCGGACGAATAGCCCCGGCAGTGTGACTGCGTGTGTGCCGCGCAGGCCCGTGCAGTGGACTCATCTATACGGCAGGAACGGTATTTGTAAGGGCGAAAGCCACTGACCAATACGTACCTAATCGATCATTACCATCCACACATTTTTACATTCACGGAACTGAAACACAGCCACCCTGTACTGTGTGGTCTCCTGTGTCACTTCGAACCTATCCTTGTGGTGGGGCATTTCTAATCAATGCCCATTAGCCACTCACTGATCCACGGAGCCACCCGCGCTCCGAGGCGACTCCGCTGCCGCCTGTAGCCCGTCTGCTCCGCCTGGCAGCGATGCATTGCGGCACAGCCTAACCGGACAGTCAGAACACCAGCCGCGGAAACAAGGACTGCTTTCATCAACTGAAATGAGTCTCTCAGTGCCTTGGGGACATTTTTAGTCAGTGTTGGTGTGATAGCGAAAAAGTAATATGATTTTATGACTTAGAAATTGGCATGAGTCCCAGGTACCAGTGCTTAAGTATGGTCCGGCTTTTTTATTGACTAACATCGGTGTGACTGTGACTGCTGTCTGATCGTCTACCATTGTTATCTGTTCCGCAGTACCGCCGCCGCGCCAGCTGTCACACAATGTCGGAAAGCACGCCAAAACCGTCATCGACTCCATCAAACTGATCCAGTCGCAGATCAGCAATGTCCGTCTCCGGCAGCAGAGCCACGGTAAGAACTGCGGGACGATCCAGAGCTGCTCAGCCAGGAACGACCGTGAGCGGTAAGCGCTCACACAATGGCGAAGGAATGTGTACATTTAGATCTGAATGCTTTCTTGCCTGGGGTAAAAACAGATTCAACAAAGTAATAAGGACGAGTTCAGAAAAGATCATCATAACCAAAAATAGGGATAGAAAGCGTCTTGTGCTGTCACAGACCATTATGCATTCAGCAAATTAAATGTTAACAGCTGCCATCTAGCCCCGGTTCCTACATGTGTAGATGAATCCCGAAAGACCTTTGCCTGCATAACATCTAGGCGACCGTTGGAGCACCACAGTTGTCCAGTGTCCACACATCCCATTACTACTCTCAACTACGCTTAGAAATTTCAATTCTTGTAGATGGAACGTACTGAATATGCACACAAATGTAACATGCACCAATTCACACTGCAGCCCAGCAAGAGCTCAAAAACCTCATCAGACAAGCTGAATGGCGGGTGGACCAGTTGCTGGTGAGTCATGGCAAGACCGACGCCGTGTCGACGGTCCACCAGGCGGCCCAGGCGCTGCACGCGCTGGCCGACGGCGCCACGGACGTCGAGTCCGGCCTGCAGTCGGCGCTCACTGAGATCCTGATGGTGATGCACCAGCTGGGCGCCGTCAGCAGCCACCAGCAGCTCGGCGAGACCAGTGAGTGTCCGTGCCAGCGGCTCAGCAGTGACACGCACTCATTTTTCAGCTTGTTCTTTTGGTTGAAATAGGAGATTAATCACGTCACTTTCCATATAATTTTAATTGCAAATTTTTAAGGTCAACGTCAGTGATTTCATATGAAGCTTTTTAAATCAATGATGACTCATATTAATACCAATCGACTAGAAATTACACACAACTTAGCGAAAAAATACGGATCCACAGCTGCAGGGAATCGAGATTGCCGAGCAGTTACATACCAATTTACCTGCAGCATAACCAGTTTATCAGTACAGCCTCTACTTTGATAGTCTATGAACCATAAAAATAAAGATTAGATAGGGATTCAAAACATTCTGTGTCGACATTTATGTCAAGGAAATGGGAAATGAGGTAGAGCCGAAAAGGTTAGACGTGTAAAATTCAAGGCAATCATACTTCTAGTTATAATGCTCAAGTTCCATGAGATCACAGTAACTCCAAGCCATGTTTTCCAGGAAATGATAACAATTGTCCATAGCCATAAAACTACTAAGGATTAACACAAAAACCGTGTGCCACCCCCAGCGCCCAAGTCTGTGATCGACGTGCTGCTGGAGGAGATCCAGGCTCTCGTCGACACCTACCTGCCCATCATCGGACCGGTGCTCGGTCTTACCGACGAACAGATCCAGGGCGTCGTCCAGAACGTCGACAAGTTTGTCGCCGACACCGAGGCTCTCGAGCACGGACAGGTGGACGTCACCGACGGACTCGAGGCCATGATCACCGATATCCTCGAGATCCTCAAGGCCCTCGGCATCGACTGGACCGCGCCCAGTAAGTCATTCAAAAACGAATACGACCGCGCGCAGGCGTCCACAAAGTACGGGCATCTTTCGTTTGCTACCATAATTCAACCATTGGTGGAACCTCACTCTTGTTCTCTGTCTTCAGCCGACGAGACTCCGACCGAGTTTGACGCCCTGCTGAAGGAGCTCGAGGCTGCCCTGGACGCTCTGCTCGACACCCTCGGACCGCTGCTGGGCCTGACCGATGAGCAGATTCAGCAGATCGAGGCTGACATCGACACGCTCGTCCTCGACATCGAGGCCATCGAGCACGGAGAGATTGACGTCGACGGCGGCCTGGAGAAGGTGCTCGCTGATCTTATTCAGATTCTTCACGACTTCGGTGTCCAGTCCGAGAAGAAGGTCGAGGTTGAGGCCACAAGTGAGTCTACGCATTTACTGAAGCTGGATCTCATGTTAGACTAATATGTATATTAAATTTGGTCGGAGTACCTACTTCGTGCGACATTCGCACATCTCGCTATGTAGCAGAAGTGCCGTTAACCCGCGAGTTGCTGGGGGGGGGGGGCGTTAAACGCCCCCACTTTTTTCGCCGGGCCATAGCATAAAAACGGCGCGCCGCAGGCGCGCCAAATTTTGGGTACCTGTAGGGAATTCATTGAAGTTTATTGTGGCAAAGTTTCAAAAAAATCGGTTGGAAATTTTTTTTTGAGATATCGAGGTTTTAGTGACGTCATAATTTCTGAGTTTTCGACCAAAAACGGCATATGTTCAAAAAATCATATAAAATCACAGAACAGACATAAAGACATGCCGTAAACGCCATTAGACTGCCAATACCATGAACAATCAAATGGCTATCTCCGATTATTGATTATCGTTCCGCATTTTCCAAAATCTTGAACTGAATCTTGGCAATTTCTCGTGACTACTTCACGACCATGATACATGAATTTCTTAAATTGAACTTTTTGAGCCAACCACGTACACATATGATAAAATGAATGTCACCATCGTGTTCTACGCTCCAAATTACCCATAAAACATGTGTCACAGGCTGCGAATATCAGTTTTGATTTTCGGGGATATGTGCCTACCCGGTTGACCTGACCTTGACCCTGACCTATGCTTGACTGACCCCTACATGGAGGTAACACTCTTGTAGGCCTTATATGATGGATTGTGCACCGTTTTGACAGAGTTTATGACGAGAGGCGCCCATTGCGAAGCCCTGAAGTCCATGCTACTGAAAGCCCGATTTCAGGTGTTTGACCTGACTTTGACCCGACCTGTGACCTCAAAATTCAACTTAAAAGTACTCATCTGAAGCGTCTTGTCGCCCTCTTTCGTTTGCCGCCTCGTGCGTTTCGCTGCGCCTATTGGTTCTCGAGTTATCGGCGGGGGGCGTTTAACGCCCCCCCCCCCCCCAGCAAACGGTGGGTGGCGAAATACCCCAGCAACTGCCGGGTTAATTAAGGAATGGATTATCTCTATCGATTAGAACAAGAAGTGTTTGTGGGTCATCCGTCAATTGTCTTGAAAAGCAGCGCAATTCAAGTGCATACATGTAAGAAAACATCCATTGTATTTTTAAGGAATAAGACGTAATACTGTAATTCACGAAAACTGAATAACTTTCAGCCCCTAAATCTACTCTGGACGTGCTGCTGGAGGAGTTCCAAGCGCTCATCGACCTGTGGCTGCCCCTCCTCGGACCTCTCTTCGGCCTCACTGAGCTGGAAGCCATCAAGATCACCAGGCAGGTGGACAAGTTTGTCGCCGACACCGAGGCTCTCGAGCACGGACAGGTGGACGTCACCGACGGACTGGCCGCCATGATCACCGACATCCTCGAGATCCTCAGGATCCTGGGAATCGACTGGACTGCCCCCAGTAAGTGGCATCTTCAACGAGAAATGCCTTACTCCTGATAACAATACAGACCAACTTACTTATTAGTCCTCACAGGTAAGGAGACATGATGCCAACTCCTTCGATAATAGTCATCAAGAAGCAACAAAGGAAACAGTATTTCAATAATTTCAATTAGTGCCGATGCGTATAAGAGTAGAGGACCATCACAAAAAGTGTGGTTATACAACAGATGCCTATCGTTACTGGAGATTGATGACAAAAGGATACCTTTTACAAGCGGGATGCACTGAGCGTTACAAAACAGGCAACACTTTCCGGGGTCTGCTAATTATCAGCATACCTAGAAGCACACATCCGCGACACTGGGTGTTCAGCACTGGCAGGTAAGTGTTCCAAGCAAATCCCTAGGTTCGCGATGATGACAGTGCTTCACCGTCTCCTACAATCCCTCCAGCGGACGAGACCCCGACCGAGTTCGACGCGCTGCTGGCGGAGCTGGAGGCCGCCCTCAACGCCTTCCTGGACACCCTCGGACCGCTGCTGGGCCTGACCGATGAGCAGGTTCAAATCATCGAGGCCGACATCGACCAGCTCATCAAGGACCTCGAGGCCGTGGAGCACGGAGAGATTGACCTCGACGGAGGCCTTGAGGCCATCATCATGGACCTCATCAAGATCCTCCACGACTTCGGAGTCCACTCAACGAGGAGCCTCGAAGTGGAGGCCACCAGTGAGTCAATAACAGTGCAAGCTAGAAGACTTCACTACATTCGTTATCTTGAAAAGAATCCGCGAATGTTGTAAACCTTATCCCTATGACAACATTGCGTTCGTAGATGCATGTAGCTTAAAAATATCTGAAACATTGTTTCGCTACTCGAACGAAATTCACCAGCAGCTGTTCAGGCAACATCAGTCAGCTTATGAAGCAACAATATGTCATGTAATTATCGTATTTAACCAGATCACTAAAACATTCAAGGCTTCCTGCCGTTTCCGTAGCCCCCAAATCTACTCCGGACGTGCTGCTGGAGGAGTTCCAAGCGCTTATCGACCTGTGGCTGCCCCTCATCGGACCTCTCTTCGGCCTCACTGAGCTGGAAGCCATCAAGATCACCAGGCAGGTCGACAAGTTTGTCGCCGACACCGAGGCTCTCGAGCACGGACAAGTGGACGTCACCGACGGACTGGCCGCAATGATCACCGACATCCTCGAGATACTCAGGATTCTGGGAATCGACTGGACTGCGCCCAGTAAGTGGCATCTTCAACGAGAAATGCTTTACTCCTGATAACAATACAGGTAACTTACTTATTAGGGCTTAGGCCTTCACAGGTAAGGTGACATGATGCCAAATCCTTCAATACTAGTCATCAAGAAGCAACAAAGGAAACAGTATTTCAATCATTTCAATTAATGTCGATGCGTATAAGAGTAGAGGACCATCACAAAAAGTGTGGTTATACAACAGATGCCTATTGTTACTGGAGATTGATGACAAAAGGATACCTTTTACAAGCGGGATGCACTGAGCGTTACAAAACAAGCAACACTTTCCGGGGTCTGCTAATTATCAGCATACCTAGAAGCATACATCCGCGACACTGGGTGTTCAGCACTGGCAGGTAAGTGTTCCAAGCAACTCCCTAGGTTCGCGATGATGACAGTGCTTCACCGTCTCCTACAATCCCTCCAGCGGACGAGACCCCGACCGAGTTCGACGCGCTGCTGGCGGAGCTGGAGGCCGCCCTCAACGCCTTCCTGGACATTCTCGGACCGCTCCTGGGACTCACCGCCGAACAAATCAAGACCATCGAGGGAGATATCGACGCCCTCATCAAGGACTTCGAATCCATTGAGCACGGAGAGATCGACGTCGACAGCGGCCTGGAGCTGATCCTTCAGGACCTCATCAAGATCCTGCACGACTTCGGCGTCTACTCGCCGAACAAACTCGACGTGGAGGCCACCAGTGAGTCGATACCGTCACTAAATAAAATATTCAACCCTTCTAGATGCTTGAACAAGATTCAACGAGTATCTTAGTTCCTTTGTCAAAACTTACAGCATTTCAACTAAATAACGCACAAAATGGTGAGAACATCTTAATCGCTTCCCGATCTAAATTCATTTCAAGGACCACTACTTGTTGATTGTTCTTTCATAAAAAGGAAATAACAATTTTTGACATCAGTTACATGGTCAAACATGACAGTATCGGACGATTCAAGGCTTCCTGCCGTTTCCGTAGCCCCCAAATCTACCCTGGACGTGCTGCTGGAGGAGTTCCAAGCGCTTATCGACCTGTGGCTGCCCCTCATCGGACCTCTCTTCGGCCTCACTGAGCTGGAAGCCATCAAGATCACCAGGCAGGTCGACAAGTTTGTCGCCGACACCGAGGCTCTCGAGCACGGACAGGTGGACGTCACCGATGGACTGGCCGCCATGATCAACGACATCCTCGAGATCCTCAGGATCCTGGGAATCGACTGGACTGCGCCCAGTAAGTGATGATGTAAGGCAATTTCTAGCAACCAATTTTGACGAGAACTAGAAGTGCGTAGCGCTTCTAGTTCAGGGTCCGCAGAGACGCATATGGGACACTTTGGAATCGTGAAGATCGGGCTAAGCGAAAGGGGATTCTTCGAGACCCTGGTATGTAGGGTTTCCCATCCCAATACAGCTGCTCTACACAAAACTGCTCTGGAACGCCTACGCAGCGAAATGAAACCAACGTAAGTGTAGCATTGGATTATGTATATCTTACTCAACACTCAAGCATCTTTCACGCAAAACGTACTAGACTTCGATACAAGCGTTCAGTTATCCATTTTACAGCCGACGAGACCCCGACGCCGTTCGACGGCCTGCTGGCTGATCTGGAGGCAGCCCTGGACGCCCTGCTCGACACCCTCGGACCGCTGCTGGGCCTGACCGATGAGCAGGTTCAAATCATCGAGGCCGACATCGACCAGCTCATCAAGGACCTCGAGGCCGTGGAGCACGGAGAGATTGACGTCGACGGAGGCCTGGAGGCCATCATCATGGACCTCATCAAGATCCTCCACGACTTCGGAGTCCACTCAACGAGGAGCCCCCAAGTGGAGGCCACCAGTGAGTCAATAACAGTGCAGCTAGAAGACTTCACTACATTCGTTATCTTGAAAAGAATCCGCGAACGTTGTAAACCTTATCCCTATGACAACATTGCGTTCGTAGATGCATGTAGCTTAAAAATATCTGAAACATTGTTTCGCTACTCGAACGAATTTCACCAGCAGCTGTTCAGGCAACATCAGTCAGCTTATGAAACAACAATACCTATGACATCTAACTATCGTATTTAACCAGATCACTAAAATTCTCAAGGCTTCCTGCCGTTTCCGTAGCCCCCAAATCTACTCTGGACGTGCTGCTGGAGGAGTTCCAAGCGCTCATCGACCTGTGGCTGCCCCTCCTCGGACCTCTCTTCGGCCTCACTGAGCTGGAAGCCATCAAGATCACCAGGCAGGTCGACAAGTTTGTCGCCGACACCGAGGCTCTGGAGCACGGACAGGTGGACGTCACCGACGGACTGGCCGCCATGATCACCGACATCCTCGAGATCCTCAGGATTCTGGGAATCGACTGGACTGCGCCCAGTAAGTGTTGGTGCAATGTATCTTATGGATGTTGCTGTTTTGCAGTGACAATATTGATCTAGCACACAGTTCATCCAGCGAACCTCCGAGATTCAAGGTAGGTAAGGTACGAAACGCTCCGTCTCCCGCCGTTACGCAGACACGGATTTCAATCAGATCGGATCAAAAGAACAAGCCTGATTACATCACGGAACTAACGTAACATTAAAGAAACGCTAGCTCGTTTCCGGTATGTGGTGGGAAATATTGCAGTTTGTAGCTTTATTTCAACAACACAAAGGGAGAATCACGATATACACTACATTGTGTACATCATCGATGTACATCATAGTACTACATCGATGTACACTACGTGCGCATGTGTAATCACGATGTGAATCTGAAAACTGGGTAATAAGCGATGTAGAATAAGGCGCATACTATGCCATTATTATATTGAACCCTTGCCCATCTAAGCAGACCTTGGCAGATAAACATCGATCTGTAGCAAGGCAATCCTACGGGTCATCATGACATTGGTAGGTAGGTATCCATCAGATCATCTAGCAAAACATTGGAGCTGAAAGGAGACAATGTAAATCAAACTGTTAATGCACAGAATTTCCGATAAGAAAATAAAGCAGAGTAGCGCAAAATCATGTAAATCTGGCTAACAATGCATTCATACATAACAATCAACCATTGGCAGCTCTCCTAGGGCACGGCATACAAAAACTGTAAGCACAACAAAAGCAACCAAATTATCCATTTTACAGCCGACGAGACCCCGACGCCATTCGACGGCCTCCTGGCTGATCTGGAGGCAGCCCTGGACGCCCTGCTCGACACCCTCGGACCGCTGCTGGGCCTGACCGATGAACAGGTTCAAATCATCGAGGCCGACATCGACCAGCTCATCAAAGACCTCGAGGCCGTGGAGCACGGAGAGATTGACCTCGACGGAGGCCTGGAGGCCATCATCATGGACCTCATCAAGATCCTCCACGACTTCGGAGTCCACTCAACGAGGAGCCTCGATGTGGAGGCCACCAGTGAGTATTGATCTAATGATAACAGAGTAAAACTCCATGTGAAAGAGGCTATGTCACGGCCCGTGTTACACGATAGTCGACTGCTCAATACAGATTCGTGGAAAAGGCATATAAGTAATAGAGGCTAAATATATATATAACTAGACAAGACACTGGCATATGCATAGCGAAGAACTTTTTACTTGTTACGTATCAATCAAAATCATTGAAAACATAGCTCATGGGCAGAGAAACACAGATGAATTTTCCATTGTCTGTGGAAAGTCAAGCTGAATGTTCTCACACAGAGCAGATACCGAGACTCTTATGCCCAATTGTTTTTCCACAGCGCCCAAGTCTGTGATCGACGTGCTGCTGGAGGAGATCCAGGCTCTCGTCGACACCTACCTGCCCATCATCGGACCGGTGCTCGGTCTCACCGACGAACAGATCCAGGGCGTCGTCCAGAACGTCGACAAGTTTGTCGCCGACACCGAGGCTCTCGAGCACGGACAGGTGGACGTCACCGACGGACTCGAGGCCATGATTACCGACATTATCGAGATCCTCAAGGCCCTCGGCATCGACTGGACCGCGCCCAGTAAGTCATTTAAAAACGAATATGACCGCGCGAAGGCGTCCACATACGGGCATCCTTTCGTTTGCTACCATAATTCAATCATTGGTGGAACCTCACTCTTGTTCTCTGTCTTCAGCCGACGAGACTCCGACCGAGTTTGACGCCCTGCTGAAGGAGCTCGAGGCTGCCCTGGACGCTCTGCTCGACACCCTCGGACCGCTGCTGGGCCTGACCGATGAGCAGATTCAGCAGATCGAGGCTGACATCGACACGCTCATCCTCGACATCGAGGCCATCGAGCACGGAGAGATTGACGTCGACGGCGGCTTAGAGAAGGTGCTCGCCGACATCGTCAAGATCCTTCACGACTTCGGCGTCCAGTCCGAGAGGAAATCCGAGGTTGAAGTCACCAGTAAGTTCATTGCAACGAATAAATTGTGACATCTCTTGGTCTTTAGCAGCCCAAACTTTCAACCAAGCTGTCAACTGATAATGTGATTCGATAGCTTTATGATTTAGCATACACCTTAAACAAAAGAAGAGAATGAGGCATTTGCATAGCACTTATCCAAAGTGTGTTCTAAGTGCAGGATTGCATGGCATTGAACGGTTTGACACATCAATCCATGCCTGACTAGAAAAGAAACTAAAAAAAAAAAACGCAAACACGTTCTGTTAATCCGTTCCTCGATAGCGAAAGGAGTTGGTAACTGCTTAGTTCAATTCTTACTAGTTACCGACCGATTTTTAAGAAGAATATAACCTGTAAATGCTTCCTAGTAGAGTTAGCAAGAGAAACACCCACCCGCCGACAAATAGAAATAACAACCAAAGATTCAGCACTTATAGTCCTCAAACGTTACTGCATGGCACATGCGTGACGTCAATTTTCACCGCCCCCAGCGCCCAAGTCTGTGATCGACGTGCTGCTGGAGGAGATCCAGGCTCTCGTCGACACCTACCTGCCCATCATCGGACCGGTGCTCGGTCTTACCGACGAACAGATCCAGGGCGTCGTCCAGAACGTCGACAAGTTTGTCGCCGACACCGAGGCTCTCGAGCACGGACAGGTGGACGTCACCGACGGACTCGAGGCCATGATCACCGACATCATCGAGATCCTCAAGGCCCTCGGCATCGACTGGACCGCGCCCAGTAAGTCATTTAAAAACGAATATGACCGCGCGAAGGCGTCCACATACGGGCATCTTTTCGTTTGCTACCATAATTCAATCATTGGTTGAACCTCACTCTTGTTCTCTGTCTTCAGCCGACGAGACTCCGACCGAGTTTGACGCCCTGCTGAAGGAGCTCGAGGCTGCCCTGGACGCTCTGCTCGACACCCTCGGACCGCTGCTGGGCCTGACCGATGAGCAGATTCAGCAGATCGAGGCTGACATCGACACGCTCATCCTCGACATCGAGGCCATCGAGCACGGAGAGATTGACGTCGACGGCGGCCTGGAGAAGGTGCTCGCCGACATCGTCAAGATCCTTCACGACTTCGGCGTCCAGTCCGAGAGGAAATCCGAAGTTGAAGTCACCAGTAAGTCCATAGTTTTTAAAAGAAAGACATGCCGCAGCTTTTGGTATGTAAGATATCCAACAAAATATGTCGTCTTAATTGTCATACGATTAAGCACAATAAAAAGAGCTGAGGACGATGAACAAGCCTGGTTGAAAAACATTTGTGAGCGTAAGATTTCAAGGTGTTGAACCGTTTCAGCACAATAATCTATATCCAGTATGTAAACTTCAAAAAAGAAAGCAAAAGAGAACATGAGTGGCCAAGCCGTTCTCCGAGTGAGTGACAACGGTTACAGCCGTAACAATTTAAATCGATTCTAGAGCTGTGAGAAGAATGCAGACTCTAGTTAAATGCTCCCACAAATAGTTTAGTGAAAGAGAACAGGACAACGAGTCGTTCAGCGTTTTACATTCGCCATACTGTTTTGGAACATTGATCCATGGTTGACGTTAATTTGTGCCGCCCCCAGCGCCGAAGTCTGTGATCGACGTGCTGCTGGAGGAGATCCAGGCTCTCGTCGACACCTACCTGCCCATCATCGGACCGGTGCTCGGTCTCACCGACGAACAGATCCAGGGCGTCGTCCAGAACGTCGACAAGTTTGTCGCCGACACCGAGGCTCTCGAGCACGGACAGGTGGACGTCACCGACGGACTCGAGGCTATGATCACCGACATCATCGAGATCCTCAAGGCCCTCGGCATCGACTGGACCGCGCCCAGTAAGTCATTCAAAAACGAATACGACCGCGCGAAAATGTTCAAAAAGTGAGAAAGGTCTTTCCTTTCACTAACCTTTGTAATTCAATTATGATGGACCCTGACTCTTGTTCTCTGTCTTCAGCCGACGAGACTCCGACCGAGTTTGACGCCCTGCTGAAGGAGCTCGAGGCTGCCCTGGACGCTCTGCTCGACACCCTCGGACCGCTGCTGGGCCTGACCGATGAGCAGATTCAGCAGATCGAGGCTGACATCGACACGCTCATCCTCGACATCGAGGCCATCGAGCACGGAGAGATTGACGTCGACGGCGGCCTGGAGAAGGTGCTCGCCGACATCGTCAAGATCCTTCACGACTTCGGCGTCCAGTCCGAGAGGAAATCCGAGGTTGAAGTCACCAGTAAGTTCATTGCTTCGAATAAATTGTAACGTCTCTTGGTCTTTAGCAGCCCAAACTGTCAACCAAGCTGTCAACTGATAATGCGATTCGATAGCTTTATGATTTAGCATACGCCTTAAACAAAAGAACACTGGGAAAACAGTTTCTCCATTTTCGGTCTCAGAGACCAGTTTTCGGGCTAATGTCCCCTATTAAAAACAGACCACACATTTTGAGAATACTTTCTGAGCAAAACCATTAATCGCAGAAACAGATCTCAGTCAGTACCCATTATCGGTGTCAAGCTTTTAAAATTAGTCTCACTATGAAACCAGTTTTCAGCCCGATCCCCAATTTCGGTCTCACTTGAATCCAGTATTCGGGCTGAAAGTACATGAGCCCTAAAAGGAAGTCTTACTGAAACCGTTTTTAAAATCACACATTTGAGGCTTGTTTCAGCACTCAATTGAGTCCTTATTCAAAAATGTTCGCAAAGTGTTTTCTGAGTGAAGAGAATAAGGCATTTGCATAGCACTTATCCAAAGTGTGTTCTAAGTGCAAGATTGCATGGCATTGAACGGTTTGACGCATCAATCCATGCCTGACTAGAAAAGAAACTAGAAAAACGTGAACACGTTCTGGTAAACCGTTCCTTGATAGCAAGAGGAGTTGGTAACTGCTTAGTTCAATTATTACCAGTTACCGACCGATTTTTAAGAAGAATATAACCTGTAAATGCTTCCGAGTATAGTTAGCAAGAAAAACACCCGCCGACAAATAGAAATAACAATCAAAGATTCAGCACTTATAGTCCTCAAACTTTACTGCATGGCACATGCGTGACGTCAATTTGCACCGCCCACAGCGCCCAAATCTGTGATCGACGTGCTGCTGGAGGAGATCCAGGCTCTCGTCGACACCTACCTGCCCATCATCGGACCGGTGCTCGGTCTTACCGACGAACAGATCCAGGGCGTCGTCCAGAACGTCGACAAGTTTGTCGCCGACACCGAGGCTCTCGAGCACGGACAGGTGGACGTCACCGACGGACTCGAGGCCATGATCACCGACATCATTGAGATCCTCAAGGCCCTCGGCATCGACTGGACCGCGCCCAGTAAGTTATCTAAAAATGAATACGACTGCGCGAAAGTGTTCACAAAGTACGAACATCTTTCCTTTTGCTACCATAAATCAACCATTGGTGGAACCTAACTCTTGTTCTCTGTCTTCAGCCGACGAGACTCCGACCGAGTTTGACGCCCTGCTGAAGGAGCTCGAGGCTGCCCTGGACGCTCTGCTCGACACCCTCGGACCGCTGCTGGGCCTGACCGATGAGCAGATTCAGCAGATCGAGGCTGACATCGACACGCTCATCCTCGACATCGAGGCCATCGAGCACGGAGAGATTGACGTCGATGGCGGCCTGGAGAAGGTGCTCGCCGACATCGTCAAGATCCTTCACGACTTCGGCGTCCAGTCCGAGAGGAAATCCGAGGTTGAAGTCACCAGTAAGTTCATAGTTCTAAAAAGAAAGTCATGCCGTAGCTTTTGGTATGTAAGAAACCCAACAAAATATGTCGTCTTAATTGTCGTACGATTAAGCACAGTAAATAAGAGCTGAGGACAATGCAAAAACCTTGTTAAAAAGCATTTGTGAGGGTAAGATTTCAAGATGTTGCACCCTTTCATCACAACAATCTATATATCCAGCATGTAAACTTCAAAAAGCAAAGGAGAATATGAGTGGCCAACCGCTCTTCGATGAGTGACAACGGTTACAGCCGTAACAATTCAAATCGATTCTAGAGCTGTGAGAAGAATACAAGCTCCAATTAAATGCTCCTACAAATAGTTTCGTGAAAGAGAACATGACAACGCAGCGTTCAGCGTTTTACATTCGCCACACTGTTTTGGAACACTGATCCATGTGTGACGTCAATTTTCACCGCCCCCAGCGCCCAAGTCTGTGATCGACGTGCTGCTGGAGGAGATCCAGGCTCTCGTCGACACCTACCTGCCCATCATCGGACCGGTGCTCGGTCTCACCGACGAACAGATCCAGGGCGTCGTCCAGAACGTCGACAAGTTTGTCGCCGACACCGAGGCTCTCGAGCACGGACAGGTGGACGTCACCGACGGACTCGAGGCCATGATCACCGACATCATCGAGATCCTCAAAGCCCTCGGCATCGATTGGACCGCGCCCAGTAAGTCATTCAAAAACGAATACGACTGCGCAAAGAGTTCACAAAGTACGAACATCTTTCCGTTTGCTACTAAAATTCAATCAATGGTGGACCCTGACTCTTGTTCTCTGTCTTCAGCCGACGAGACTCCGACCGAGTTTGACGCCCTGCTAAAGGAGCTCGAGGCTGCCCTGGACGCTCTGCTCGACACCCTCGGACCGCTGCTGGGCCTGACCGATGAGCAGATTCAGCAGATCGAGGCTGACATCGACACGCTCATCCTCGACATCGAGGCCATCGAGCACGGAGAGACTGACGTCGACGGCGGCCTGGAGAAGGTGCTCGCCGACATCGTCAAGATCCTTCACGACTTCGGCGTCCAGTCCGAGAGGAAATCCGAGGTGGAGGCCACAAGTATGTATATTAGTATGTGATGATGGTTAGTGTCAAGACGTATTCCACGTCTTCAGAAGAGTATTGAAGTTGAACTGTCAAACTATAATTGTATACTTCAAATTCTGATGCGTCTACCTATAGTTCTACGTAAGGGTAAGGCACATAAAAGTAGAAAAGCAAAATACAATTATGATTGCCTTGGAGAAGAACAGATAAACTACTTATCAAAAACAGATAAAGTCGGGATCAATGATACTATTGATATAAATCGCCCCCATCATGTATAGGTACCGAACTTTGCCGATAAGCCAACATTTTTGTTTGATTTCAGCGATTCCAACGATCATCGACATGCTTCTGGACGAGCTGCAGCACATCGTGGACACTTACCTGCCCATCATTGCCATCGCGACGGATCTCACTTGGGCCCAGTCGCAGGCCATCATCGAGAACTTCGACAAGTTCGTCGCTGACGTTAAGGGCATGGAGCACGGCACCATCGAGATCGCCACTGGTGTCATCGATATCTGCATTGACATTCTGCGCGTTCTGGAGGCGTTCGGCGTCGACGTCACCCTCCCCTGTGAGTTCCACATAACCGGTCGTTTAGTGGCATGTTAACAAGTAAAATTATCTTCAAAGACGACGTTGGCTAAATAATCAACGTGAAATATGCTGGGAAATTACCTTCAACCACTTCTAATTCCTAAGAAAACTACGCTGTATTCATTAAATTATCATTTTTAGCGCTTTGCTAGTGTTCTTAACATATATGTAGCGCAAACGTGACGCATGGATGTCGACAATGTCACCTGGTTCGCCAGCCACGGACGTGCCGACCACCCTCGACGAGGTGCTGTTCTGGCTCGAGAACGGACTGAACGCCGTGCTCGACATCGTGGGGCCCTTCATCGGTCTCGACTACGACGCGACGAAGCAGGTCGAGGCCGACATCCATACTCTTATCAACGACATCCGCGATCTGGGCGACGGTCGCATCGATGTCGACCGCGGTCTGGAGAACATCCTCACCGATCTGCTGGTCATTCTCGGCGACTTCGGAGTGCCCACCAGCCAGCGCAAGGGCGGACTCACCAGTACGTGCAAGCGCACACACATTTGCAGCTCAGTCCAATGGGGTTCGCAGTTCGCTAACGAATTAATGCTGCCGTTAGGACCCATGGTCCAGGGATGCTGGGATAAAATAGTAGTGCCTGACAATTGACGCCTCCCATGAATTACAACGGTACATAATGTCATTGGCAAATAATTTAATCACATAACTAAGTTACGAAAAGGTTAAGAACGCCTTGCGTTCAGTGGTCCGGAGGCGCACGAACCCCACGTTCCTCTCCGGCTGTTCACAGCGGACACGCCGTCAACGCTGGACCAGCTGCTGGAGGAGCTGCAGGCTATCGTGGACCAGTACCTGCCCGTGCTCGGGCCGCTGTTCGGACTCACTGACGAACAGATCGCCGGCGTGGTCACCAACTTCGACAAGTTCGTGGCCGACGTGGAGGCGCTGGAGCACGGCACCGTGGACGTGTCCACCGGCGTGGAGGACATCGTCATCGACCTCATCGAGATCCTCAAGGCCCTCGGCATCGACGATACTCTCCCCAGTAAGCGCTGGTCCGATATGACACTACAGAAGCAGAAGCGACGCAATTCGAATGATTGAATGCGAGCTTCTCGAAACTGGTTCCATTTCTCTTTATATTCTTGCACCGACGTGAGGTTTACCGATTTTGTGTGTTCGCAGCCGACGACACGCCGACCGACCTGGACGGTCTGCTGGCGCAGCTGGAGAGCATGCTGAACACTCTGCTGAACACCCTGGGACCCATCCTTGGCCTGACCGACGCCCAGGTCCAGCAGGCCGAGGCCGACATCGACACACTCATCAAGGACATCGAGGCCATCGAGCACGGACACATCGACATTGACAGCGGCCTCGAGAAAATCATCGTGGATATCTTCAACATCCTCAAGGACTTCGGTCTGCCCGTGCTCAGCCCTGAAGCCGGTGAGTATTGGAGTGGGTAAACGGGATAAACGGCATGGTGAGTGAAACGGACATGCTTGCCTAGCAAGGCTCAATTATGAAAATTTCTGGAGCCGAGAAGTGATATGAGGTAAAGAAACTCGAAACACAACGAAGGGCTCCAATCGAGACCAAGGAGGTTCATGGACAGTTCCGGTATTTCATGGGCACACGAGCCACTGAACTATTTTAGAAATTAGGACCTTTCAAAAAGAATATAGATTAGGGTGATATTTGACACATCAAATGAACCTATGGTTTGCATAATGCATTTGTAGGGAGAATTAAAGCTTCCTTTTATCATTCACGTGAAAATATTTAACATTGTTAAAACTGTCGTGCCAAAACGGTGAAAAAAGGCAGGCAGTGATTGCAAAATGAATATGGAGTAACTACCCAAAGAATTCTTCAGCATCTTGGTCTTAAAAATTGAAGTCCATCAAAACCCTGCCTAAAGTGTTATCCAAGACATGGACGAAGCATTTCCCACCAAAATTCCACCATCAAAGAGGAGGTGCAGGATGATCAAGCTGTGCCTTACTGAGACCGTGTGACGCTTGCCGCGCCCTGCCGCCAACCTCTGGGTGTCTGTGCCGCAGCACACCTGAGCCTGGTCGCCCGGCTGGCCGAGCTGCGGCGGCCGCTGACGGGCCTGGTGGCCTCCCTGCCGCTGGCCGCCCGCGCCACCGTCCGCGCCGACCTGCATCACCTGGGAGCCGTGTTCCACCAGCTCGCCGTCGTAGTGCCCGTGCGCGCGTGAGCGTCACTAGCAGAGCGCTCTGTTCAACACTGATTGTACCTACTGTACTGAGTCGGAACTAGATATAAATACAGCTGTGACGATTCTTGGTATTTAGTGTTTGAATGATGTTCGAGAGATTGGTTGGACGTCGGACCGGGGTCCGGGGTGTCTTTCTGAACCGAGCGACATCACTTTCACGCCAATTCATTAACTTTTTTGAAGGTGGGAGGGTCCCTTTAATCCGCGCCGGGACGGGGTTTGAACATCCCCCCTGCGGTTTTCGCAGATATCTCAAAAACGGCGGCGTGGCACACCTGTTAGTGCATCTTTTCCGCACATGTTGTGAAAATGTCAGACCCAGGTCGCTTCAGGTCAGGTTACCAGGTCACGCCAAGTGACCTCACCTCAGAAAAAATCAGAATGCTCGTCATAGCTACACGGACTGAACGATTACCTTGAAACTTCCAGCGTTTGATAAGAGTAACAGTATCTATAAAACGTAGGTATATCTCGGAATTTCGATATGGGTGACCAAAGGTCAGGTCAATTTTGCGGCCTCGCCATTATAAGTCAATGGGAGAAAATTGAAAGCATCTGTTTTGCACGAACGCCATTCTAGACACTCTCAAACATCGGGATGCAGGTAAAATTGACACACTGAACCGGAAAATGGCACCTGTGACCCCTCGTTAAGTCCCCGAGGTCATCTCAGGTCACGAATAGGGGAAGATGGGGAACACCGCCATTTGGGGAACACCGCTCACCCCGATATTAGAAATATAAAAAGGTCTAGGGCGACAGATGACTGTCTTCTGGTAGCGTGACGAGACGACAACAGAAGTGCAGGTATGGGCAGTGCACCACATTGGTTTAGGGGCTTTGCGAGAAATTCCTAATTTTATGTTTCGTAAATACGTTTTATACCTTTTCTAGCATAATAAGCAGAAGAAAACTGATCTTATTTCACAGACATTAGTCCTGAAGTAGTATTTTTGCCATAATTAGGACTCATCCAAGCATTACGTGCTCCTGCTCGAGCGGAATTTTTGTCGTGCTGCCATATTGAAGGATTTTTAGAAAATGCAGACACTTGGGTAACACCGCCTATCTTGGGAAATTAGGTATTTAATAGCACATTGTGACACCTAACCCAGGAGTGGCGCATTTCAAATAAAGAAAGAACGTTGTTGCTATGTTTTACTTTTAGAGGATAATGAAAAAAAAAAAATTTGGGACTTAAAGTCGTCTAGTCATATAAATGAGTACTATATCGTACCAGGGATACATTAAAATCGTTTCCATTGTATTTTATAAATATACTAAAACGCCTGGACATTTACGATAAGAAGAAGTACAACTTAATAGTCTAGCAATCTGCAAATTTCGTTGCCTGCTGAGCTCGGGCAGTGTTAACCAACGGTCGGTGTTACCCCGAAAAATGTAGACATTTACTAAATGTGGAATAATGCAATTATGAACGACACTACAAGAAAACAATTGGTTGATATGCATGTAAAAATGATGCAACAATCCAATGAAACTGAAAGATTGATCATTTGGCCAAAAATTACGCGAATAGACCCTAAAAGGTTAAGGGGGTCGGTGTTCCCCCGTCATCCCTACCTAGTATCTAGCAGTTTTTCGCTAATAACTTCTGATAGAGGCATGCTAGAGCGATGAAAACGCCTTAGATGTGTTCGGCTCGACGATGCGGATGGAATGATATGCAACACGACCTTTTGCGGTCAGGTCATGACCTTGAACTGAGGTCAAATTTTCAAGTTGACCTTTCAAGGTCAAATTATAGTTCATTCGACGAGAGGAAAACGATTCTGGCAATAGAAATGTCGTGGCTTTTTTAGTCAAAACTTATTGTCAAAAAACACCTTTCGTAAAAACAGCTATTTTTGGAGTTTTTGCTCTCTGGAGGCTAAATCGTTGACCTAAGGTCAATTTTGATTATGAACTTATCAAAAGAAGAGTTCAAAAATTATCGATTGCTTTTCCATGCGTTTTTCTAGCTATCACAGTTCCTGAGATAAATCCATGTTTCTGAGAAATATAATGACATTTGGCAAATTTTGAAATTTGATGACCTCCAGTGACCCCAATATTGCTCTAGGATGAAAAAAAATGACCGAAATACTTTCAAACGTACGCATTGAGAGCTATCGACTGCTTTTTACCGCGACTTTCTAGCCCTCTTAGTTTTTGAGTTAGAGGTGGGTGGTACACTGGCGGATCCAGGGGGGCCACGGGGGCCATGCCCCCCCCCCCAAAGGCGTAAAGTGGCCGGTTTGCCCCCCTCCCCAAAACGTCCGAAAAAAATGCTAAGAAAATATACCTTGATGGAGGTTTTTAGCCACTTGGTGAAGTAAAGCTTTCCACAGCATAATATGGAAGCAATATGGTAGCAGTGAGGGTCAGTCAAAAGTTGCGCGAGAGGAGTCGACCTTAAAAAAAGACTGTTGTTGGCACGTGTTTATGGCGCGGCAGCTGGTAGTTGGCGGTGTTTCGCGTGGTGTGGCATCACTGGCCGATCCAGGGGGGGGGGGGGGGCACGGGAGCCTGAGGTGCCCCTGACAGGTCCATGGTGCCCTTGCTAGGCCTGTGGTGCCCCTGGACCCTGGCAGGCCTGTGGTGGCTCTGGCGGGCCTAGGGTGCCCCTGCTAGGCTGCTGATGCCCCTGGGACCTGACAGGACTGCGGTGCCCCTGACAAGCCTAAAGCGCCCCCAACAGGCCCGTGATGTCCCCGACAGGCCCAAGGTGCCCCTGCGTGATGCCGTGATGCCTGCGAGGCCGGCAGGGCCCCTGGCAGGACCACGGTGCCCCTGCGAGGCCGGTGGTGCCCCTGGCAGGTCTCTGGTGTCCCTGACAGACCTGGGGTGCCCCTGACAAGCCTGTGGGCCCCTCACAGGCCCGTGGTGCCCTTGCTAGGCCTGTGGTGCCCCTGGCGGGCTGGTGGTGCCCCTGCTAGGCCGGTGGTGCCCCTGACAGGCACCACCCGGGCACCAAGGGGGGTCATGACCCATGTGGCCCCCCTTGGATCTGCCACTGATACATAATATATTGATTTGTAAAGGCTAGACCGGTGGTGCCCCTGGCAGGCCTGTGGTGCCCCTGCTAGGCCCCTGGTGCCCCTGGGCCCTGACAGGACTGTGGTGCCCCTGCTAGGCCTCTGGTGCCCCTGCAAGGCCGGTGGTGCCCCTGTAAGGCCTGTGGTACCCCTGCTAGGCCTCTGGTGCCCCTAACAGGCCCATGGTGCCCCTGCGAGGCCGGTGGTGCCCCTGGCAGGTCTCTGGTGTCCCTGACAGACCTGGGGTGTCCCTGACAAGCCTGTGGGACCCACCCGTCACAGGCCCGTGGTGCCCTTGCTAGGCCTGTGGTGCCCCTGGCGGGCTGGTGGTGCTCCTGCTAGGCCGGTGGTGCCCCTGCTTGGCCGGTGGTGCCCCCGGGCACCAAGGGGGGTCATGACCCATGTGGCCCCCCTTGTATCTGCCACTGATACATAATATATTGATTTGTAAAGGCGTTATGGCTTATGCAATATGCAATTGCAGGCACTTGGTATCCCTCACTTATCCCTCATTGGGGGCTCTGGCGGGCTCCTGAGGGCCCACGTCTATCTCCATTCTCCGGGAGCCCTAGACGGGCTCCTTTGGGTCCTTTCAGTCCACTACAGCATAAGAGGTCTCCACGCAAGTCCTATACATCTGAGGGCGTACCCTGACGTCTGAGGTACCCAACTGCAGCTCCAATGGTGTCTTACACTGGCGGATCCAGGGAGGGGGCATTTAGGGCCATGCCCCTTTCCCAGAGGCCTAAAGTGGCCCGTTTGCCCCTCCCCCAAACGATAATGAAACATAGTTCAATCAGTGCGTGGCCCAGGAGCCGAGTTAGACTGGGGGTGTTTTACCACCTCCCGGCCCGCAAAGGGACCCAAGAACTGACTCGAAGCGGGTTAACTGGTCGACAAAAGCAATGGTAAGTGTTCACAAAGTAATATAAAGGCATGGGTCGGGTGGACTACCATTTATATATTTTTCTTTTTAGTTAAAAAAATTAATAGTGTCAGAGCTGTGACGAAAAATAAGTGGCCTAAATCAGATGAGAAAACAGGATTTGGGGGTACCCTAGGTTTGGCTCCGCATGAGTTAGCCCCCCCCCCAAAACGCAAGCCTGGATCCGCCAGTGGGGTGGTAACATATGCCCCCCCCCCACTAGGGCGAAGTTGGCTGA